AAATTATCCACCATTCTGTAACAGAAAAAAAGCCAGAAACATTTTGGAAAAAAGTAGGAGGGAAAAAGTATAAAATTAATTTTATAGAGAAAACTGATGCACATTCTGAGACAATTACATACGAAAAACTCTTACTATGAAAAAATTAAAAACAAGACATTTTTAATTAATTACACAGCTAATTTTGCTTCTGCTAAGAGCTGCTTAGTAAATTGTGCTTTATAGCATTATACCTCGTTTATTTTTCAGATTTAAAATATTGTATAAGATGCCAAAATGAAACTTTATAATATGACAGTGAAAAATAAAAATTTTTTTATTTAATGTTATTTTTTAAATATAATTTAAATATATTACCATTATTTTTAATAAATTTATCAATGTTCAACACGTTTTAAAAAAAAAAATCGTCGAAAAATTCTCATTTTGGAATTAAAAAGTTTCTATAGAAACTAATCTTAAAATCGCCAAAATGTTGAAAAGTCGCCAAATTTAGAACCGTTTAATAAAAGAATTCACATCTCCAAAAGCGAAAAGTTGTTTAAGAGCTCTTTACTAGAAAAAATGAATTTCGAAATATTTATGTTTCACTTCTTGCTTAGAAACTCGAGTATCCCATCATTTATACAGTCAAAAGTTGTTAATTCAGACACCCATAATCCGGAATGATCTATAATCTGGACCTCAAAGCTACAAACTTTCTGTGCATGCATCTACTTGACGCACGCGCGTAAGACCTTTACGGCTGCGAATATGCGTGTGAGCATGCGCATAATACTTTTACGCATGCGCGTTTAATGTATAACGAATGGTATCAGCTATGCTAAAATTACAGTTAATGTTGCAGATTGCGTTGTTCCTTAATCTTCAAATTGGATCCGGCTTATTATTTTTTGCAGAATGTTAGAGCAATTTTATAAAAGTTAGCTTGAACTTTCGATTATGTCAAATAGAATTTCCGATATATATTTACTAATATGTAAAGGATCTACAAAGCGAAAGTATGTTTTGAAGTCCATTAAACAAAAAGTGGAATTGCTGCAAAAAATGGATTAAGGCATATCCTTTGTTTCTCTTACCATTCCAAAAATCTGTTTATCAATTTCACGCTGCTTTGCGGCGGTGGGGGGGGATTTTATCGTATCCTTATCTTCAGGGCAGATGTTTTTATTTTATTCGGCTTATAATTCTTTACTTAATGTAGTATTCCATCTCGATGTACTCCATCTTTGATATGATTTAAATCAAATTCCTCGTCATTATAATTCGCTTACGATAGTGAAGAAAGTGACACAAAAGGTTATTGAAAACGAAAAAATTTCGAGTGACAAATTAGTCGGTATTCTCAACACAGCAATTATAGGACTTGAACAGCAGAACTTTGTAACTGAAAGAAGAAATTATGTCTGTTTATAGAATTAAAGAGAAAGCATTATCACATAAAACGAAGCAACTTAAACAACTTACATTGAAAGAAGTGTTTAATAAAGTAAACAAATAAATATTAAGCTTTTTTTTTTTTGTAAATTTTGATACCCTTTAGATCATAATTGTTCTTTATTTCATAAATTACGGTTTCACATTTTTAATTTTATAATTTCTGCATGCCATCTTACCAGATTTAAACTGATGATCTATAATCCGGAATCGTCGAAGTCCCGACGAGTCCGGATTAACGACTTTTGACTGTATTAGAAATAAACAAAATTATAACTCATGAACCCATTCAAAAGATTACCATATATACGGCAGTGAATCGCCAAAAATATTCTTCAAAATGCTAATTCACACTCAGAATGACAGTCGTAAAAACAGACAGAAATTTTAGATGATTAAAATTAAGGACCTTCTGTTGATTTTGAACAAAATTAAGGAATTTTAAGGACCAAAAATCAATTCAAAAAAATCTAAGGACTTTTAAGGACTCTTAAGGACTGTACGAACCCTGGTAGAACAGGCCAAGAAAGCTGCAGATTATCTAAACATAACTGTGGATCAGTTGAATCCTCACATGGCATCTGTTTTTCCTTACATGGCATCTATCTTCCCAACAGGAAATGGAACCTTCCAGCAGGAAAATGCTCCATGTCACAAGGCTCGAATTATGTTGGAGTATCCAAGGAGCATAAGGATGAATTCCAATTAATGTCCTCGGCCACCTACTTGCCAGATCTTAATCTGATAGATAGCACATTTGGCATGTTATGAAGTAGCAGCTCAGGGCTCAAAGACTTAGGGTAAACTTAATCACAATATTAAAAGTTTAATTGACTACCACCGGACTAAACTTTGGAATAACGAAATTGAAAAATTAAATGTGGAAGACGGAGAATTCTGGAAGTCCCTCCGTTTAATGAAGTTGACAAAAACAAGCAATAAACCTCTACAGGACGACACTGGATTAAAATACAGCAACGAAGACAAAGCAAAAGCTTTGCCACCCACTTCGCCAAGCAGTTCACTCCAAATGAGACCCTTCAGACTGAAATTTCATTAATCAAATTAACATGTTCGTCGATAAATGGATTAACCAGCCCAGTGTCAAAAATCTCCCTGTTTTTACCTCTCCCACAGAAGTTAGCTCTATTATAGCTAAACTTCATAACAGAAAAGCACCAGGGAAGGACAAAATCTCTAATTCAATGATTAAACATCTGCCTGGTAATTTCATTAAGAAACTCTATAGCATTTACAATGCCTGCCTGTACCTGTGCTATTTCCCAGCTGAGTGGAAACAAGCGGTTGTCATCTTAATTCCCAATCCTGGAAAAGATAATACAAGGGTGGATGGATTCATCAATCAGCTTGCTTCCTGCACTGGTAAAGATCCTAGAGAGGATTATCTGCAGAAGACTACAGCCAGCCCTAAACATGTTTCCAAACCGTAATTTGATTCTGTAAAGGGTAATCGTAATTTGATTCTGTCTACTACCATGCAGCTTGTCAGAATCATTAAATTTTTAAGCGCAGCTATTCATAAGCACCAGACAACTGCTTTCCTTATTCTGGATGTGGCAAAAGTCTTTGACCGCATCTGGCATAAAGGACTTATCTACAAGCTTGCTTCCCTCGATCTCCCGAGGGAAATGATTTTGATTCTTCACTCCTTTCTAAGTGATCAATCTTTCTATGTTAGGCAGGGCGATGTTTATTATGAAAACACATTACTTAAAGCTGGCGTTCCCCAGGGAAGCATCCTTGGGCCTATTCTTTATCTTATATATGTTAAGAACTTCCCTATGATTGAAAATACAAACTGCATCACCGCTTGCTATGTGGATGATACCGCCATTCTTTCTAGTTCACTTAATCCACGACATGCCATAACCAGAATACAAAACCACACACATGAGATAGAGGAATGGTGTCGCAAATGGAGGACATCCATTAATGCCACAAAATCCAAATTATTACTCATAGGACGGCACAGAAGAAAAAACATTGATGCAAATCTGACCCTTTTTAATGAAACAATACCCAAAGTCAGAGAGGCTACATACTTAGGAGTTTGTTTTAATGGCTCTCTTACATGGGGTCCTAACATTTCCATGACCATCGGGAAAGCCACAGGAGTCTCTAGGAAGCTCCGAAACTTTCTCCATGCCTCCTCACCACTGGATCTTGCTCACAAGAAGCACAGTTACACAACAATATTAAGACCTATCCTCACATACGCCTCCCCTGCATGGTGCTTTGTTCCCACCTCCATATTGAATAAATTGCAGGTTTACCAAAACAACTACTTACGAAAAATCACAAGAGCCCCCTGGTTTGTTTGCAATGAACAGCTACACAGAGACCTTAAACTCCAAAGTCTGGCATTATTTATCAATAAATTAAACAATAACTTTTTCAACAAAGCTATCCCCAATGCAGAGGTAAATTATTCAAACAATTTTAAGAGCTCCTAGAAATTGACATCAATTTAAGGCCCTATGCAACCTACATTTATCAGAATCCCCCATAAATATTTTAAACTTCTTCCACCTAATTTCAAAGTATGACATTTTCATTTACACTGGCCTGGGCCACATCTACACAATCTTCCTGCAGTTCCTTGTCAAGGTATTCCTGCAAAGCACTATATGTTATGTCTACCCTAACCAGGGTTATTTGAGACACCTGTAATAGTGGGATATAATTCCTGCTGAAACAGGCATATCAAAAGTATCAAAGTATCTCAAACACCACCATGTCAGAATATCTCAACTTTGCGTGACCACTGTTTAGACATTTGGTACAACCTATCTCCAATCATCTACCAAGAACTTGTGCATACATGCCAAGTTACAGCTGTTTTACAGGCAAAGGACATGCAATGCATTACTGAATAGATGGTCATTACGTTTTGGCTCTTCAGTGTAAATTATAAGCATCACAAGTGCTGTTAAATGAAACAAATCATCACAGATGTCTTTGAAAAGGGAATTTTAATGAAAATTTAAATTTTAATGTTAATTAATTTTAATTTTAATTTAAGAAAAATTTTAATGTAAATACACTTTGACACTTAGTAGAGAATATCAAAAAACAACTGCATATGAGAAAAATCAGATGTGTGAAATCCCAAGACATAATAAAAAGTATTCAAGAAATCATTTAAAAATAATATATATTAACAGCTCTCATTAAACTTATTACATGCTACTTATAAGATACTTTATATCTAAAATATATGACTAAAATCAATCAAATCAAATTTCTATGAATTCTTCAAATTGCACATTAAAATTCTTCAACTGATGTAACAGTGTTAATAATATTTTTATGCAAAAAATTATATTAAACTATATTAAAAGAAATCTGATTTAAATTTTAATTCATAATACACAATAAAATTATGCTCATACAAAATTTTATATTTTACATACAGTATTATGACATATGTAAAATTAACTTTAATTTTGTAATTTTATATTATGGCATTAACACTAATTTTTACATTATGGTATAATGTAAAATTAACTTATTATTAATTATGGGCACATGAAGAATAATACCTATATCTGAATTTGCATCCCCTTGAAAATATTCCTCCACTAGTTGTAACTGTAGGAACTTCACTGGAAGACTCCATCCTAAGGGAAAAAGTGACTTAAAATATCACACACTAATAATAAAAAATAACAACATTAGTTCATATTTACTAATAAATGATAAATTAAAATGCAGTCATATTAATGTTGGGAAAAAGAACAGAATATATTATAACTCATTACCATTCTGGTTTACTAACAATGAAATAAAAATATAAACACTTTAAATCATAATTACAGATTGAAACACATGTGCACATTAAAGGGGGAAACACTTTTAACAATCAATGCTCCTTTTTCAAATTATGATCAAAATATCTCAACAAAACATTAAATACTGAATGAAGAATAAAAAAGTTCTGAAAAAGGAATCTTCCATGTGTTTTTTATTATCATTGTTTCTAATCCAGCATGAGAAAGAAAAAAAAATTTTTTTTTCCCTCCTAGAATAAAATTATACATCCTTTAAAATTGAGTATTAACAAACTTAATCAATTTACTAATTCTTTTATTTGAAAAAAGCCACCAATATTCACTAATCTCTTAATATTACTATAGACTACTTCTATATGTTTTGGCTTTTTAACAGGATTACATACACAAATTACTTTAAAAATAATCATTTATAATGAAATGAAGATGTTAAAAACAATTTACATATTTTTCTATGATTATATACAATAATACATTTTTTTAATCTTAGAAACTACTAGTTTACTATCCTTCTATGCAATTCTTACAAATAAATAAAAGGAGGCTATATTTAAAAATCATAAGAATTTGGTAAATGAACAAACAAATGTGACTTCCCTGTTAGTTGACAGAGGACACATTATCTATCAAAACAATTACACTCATTTTTCATGGCATAATAAAGACACTTATATAATAATTCTGGATTTATAATAAGTCAGATTATTCAGCAGTGATTTGCACAAATCACAAGTGGTAAAGCTTCTTAAATTTGGTCATTAGGTCTCCTCTCATTTTAAACTCATTTAAATTTCTCCATAAAATAAATTTTGTTCACAGTTTCTTTACTTGCTTAGATTATTCATAAGGTATTAAATTATGGAATTAAAATATTAAAGCAAAATATCACATACAACGATGTAAGAATGTACATAATAATACATAAATGAATTTCACCGCACAGAAATAAAATGAGAGAGACTATTTTTTAATACAAAACCTGATCCCTGATATAATGGCAATTTTAATTTATACATTAAAGGTAAGTTATGGAAATCTATCTTTTCATTTCAAATATGACTTTTTCATTTCTTATAAAGAATGTTGTAAACTTCTTTATAAGAAGAAACAACTTTATAAAAAATATAAAAATTATTCATAAAAAGGAAATCTATTCTATCCAATTTTTTGTGCCTTTTAAACTTTTGAAAAACTATTAGGAAAAAACTTATGCCTTTTAAACTTTTGAAAAATTATTAGGAAAAAACTTACGTAAAGAAATATCTCTGTTCAACAGCACATTTCCAAAGATGATGACAAGCTGCTTGGGTGGGACATTTAAAACCAATCAAATGCTTTTTCTGAAATAAGTAGAAAGTAGAAAGCACATATTTAATTTTATACTATTAGAAAAACAACACACTTTGTGGGTTTGTTGACTAGCATACTTTATAAATGTATATATGCTTAGCAGAACAATTACACAATTTAAAATTTGCAAAATATAAGTAATAAACAATCTTTAGAACTATGACTGTTCATGACTTACAAATAAATATTAATACAGTAAAATTCCAGAAATCTGCAAAGCTTGGGACCAGAGGTTGTGCAGATTTTAGGATTTTGCAGATTTCAGGACAGAAAAGATAAAGCATAATATTCGGACTAAAAGTGCAAAATGAATAAAGCGTATTAGATATATTTAATTAAATTATTATATACATTATTTCAATAATTTATTATATGCATTAAATTATTATTACATATATAAATTGATTATATTAATCAATTATTATATGTACACAGCATCGAGGTTTGCCGATTTCGCCTCATGCAAAGATGTCCGGTTTCGGATTCTGGTGTTAGAATCACTGATGCTGTAAAATTTCATCAGCTTATCTTTATTTTTCCATAAACCAAACACAATCATGTCACAATTCCATACCATTCTGCTATAAATCGAGGAGTAGCACCTGCTTCCATCTTTTGCAGAATTTGCACTTTTTGCGTTACTGTCAATGCAATGTGTTTATGCTTTTCAACGTTGCAAGCAGTAAAATCACGAGTGTGTTTCTTACCTGTCATTGTATTAAAAAAGGCTAAAGTTAAAAATATTCTTAATTTATCCACAAAATATCTGGATTAAAAAAAGGCAGCACTAAACAATCTCATGAAATGAAATAACAAAGCTCAGAAAATACAATAACGTGAATTATGAACTTGAACAATGAGTGAATCGTCTGCTTTTTTACCTCGATGCAGATTAAAGCGAAAAAAAAACTTATTTATTTCATCTTATTTTTTTAACTTTCTTATATCAATAATTTGGTATTTCTGTTTTGACTCATTATTATTCATTAAGTATTTTTTTCTTTGATATTTCGTACTCAATGTTCAGGTTTCTGGAACCTATAAACTGAATGTTTATATTCCGAGAGGAAACGCAGATTTCAGGAGTTGGCAGATTTCAGGTCGGCGGTTTTTCGGTATTTGACTGTATCTGAAAACTGATTTTTACAGATTGAAAGGTATATCAAAATTACCAGAAAAAATGGCTTTTTACTAAATGAGCTTAAAAATAAAATTATGCATATCTAATCAATTAATCAGAATATTATATCACATAATACCAAAAAATTCAACTAACACACAGTAATAAATATTTATAAAACTATATAATCAGCAAGATATAAACAGGCTACAGAGCAATAAAAATGGCTATTAACCCTTTGCAGCACAGTGTGTCCGGTCTGGACATACCTAAAAATTTTCTTCTGTACGCACAGAAAAATTGAATAAAAAAGGATTTATAAGTTACTATAGGTTACTCTGAACCTTCTTTATTTATAGTAGATGGCAGTTCAACACAAACCAGTCCATATATTTTAGCCATGTTTAGTTTTTTAAGACCCTCATTTTTCAAAGAAATCTTCCAGAATTTTTTTAAGGTGTAAAAGGAATTTGTTTGAAAAGAAATTTCTATGTTATTTTGGCTGTATGCTAATCTCCTTATTCTATATTAGTTTTAAATTTTTGCCTTGAAATCTCTCCTGAAATCAAATGGCGAACCCTAGGGGTGCCCATACCGAGCTCACCAATAATCTAGGACAACTGAGAGTCTGTATTCTTAGTTTCTCCGCATCTCATCAGTCAGTTCATTGACAACAATGCTCATTTCAGCACTCTTTTTGTAGCTCTATTCAATCAGTGTGCCCACTTCAGCATACTCACATACCACAATTTCCGGAAGAAATGCCGCAGCGTTTATGTGTTTAAAACTTAAATTTTCAGCGGGTGCGGCGTTTCTACCTATGCGCTGTTTAGGTGCACTAAAAATAAAATATTTCCTATGACGGTCATTGTACATAATTTGGATGGCCTTTGTCATTGTGCATAGACTGGTGCTGTTCTCACACAAAAGACCACTCAGTTGCTTTTTGCGAACATTATTTTGTTTACATTCTTTCCCTTGAACGGACCTACATGCCGTATTCACCCTAAACAAGATCTCAGAACAATAACATTCTTCCCCCTTTCAAATCAACATTCTTATCAGTTTGAACAGTCTCTCTCTTCTGCCATTCGATGAATCTTACAGGACCCATCCTCTTCCCACCCCTGCCTTTTCTGCAATTTTTTTCAAAGGCGGACACGACTCCACCTGCCTCGCAATAACGAACTCTGACATATTTTCCCTTGAGCATGAATGGATTTTTCTTGGCATTCTGCCAGATACAGATCCCATCAGTTTGGATTACAAGTACGTGTTGGATAGTTTTTAAGTAAGAAGAAGAGCGGAAAATTTTTGAAAATGGCATCTAAATGCGGCATAGAAGCTATACTGCTAGGTTTTAAGCTTAATGTAAAATCACGTGCTGAACAAATTGGAAATCGAGCAGCAGCTCGAGAGTTTGAAGTGGACGACAGATGTATTCGACATTGGAGAACTGAAAAAAGAACTTCTTAAAAATATGCCACAACAGAAACGAGCCAAAAGAAGTGGTACTGTAACGTGGCCAAATCTAGAGGACGACCTTGCAAACTGGATAAAGGAGCAACAAGGAAAGGGAATGGCAATTTCGACTGTAAAAATTCGCTTACAAGCAAATTTATAGCAAAACGAATGAACATAAATGATTTCAAAGAAGGTGTAGCAGATTTATGAAATGAAAAAATATTTCTGTGCATACTAGAACAACAGTCGGGCAACAATTACCAATGGACTGGCAGGATAAAAAGTCATCTTTTCTAAAATATGTGACAGCTATTATTGACAAAAAAAAAAAAAAAAAATTCTTCAGTCACAGATAATAAATATGAATGAAACGCCATTACCTTTCGACTCTCCTGCAAACAGAACTGTTGATGAAACTAGTGCAAAAACTGTATCTGTGTTTATGACGGGGCATGAAAGAACGTCATTTACTTGTGCCGCAAACGGTGCCAAGCTAACGCCGATGATCATTTTTAAACGAAAGACTATTCCGAAGGGAGATTTTCCTAATGACGTAATTATTTGTGCAAACGAGAATGGCTAGATGTGCGAAACAATCATGCATGAATGGCTACAAAAAGTTTGGCAGTGTCGTATGGGATCTTTTTTCCAACTAAAGGGAATACTGATAATGGATTCCATGCGTGCTCATTTCTTTGAGTCAGTGAAAACCAGATGTCAAAAATTGTCTACAACCGAAGCAATAGTTCCTGGTGGTTTGACAAAATCTTGCAACCGTTAGATTTGTCAGGTAATAAATCCTTCACAGCTGAAGTCCGAAAGCGGTGGGAGTGTTGGATGAGTGAAGGATTGCATACGTAAACCAAAAGCGGTAAAATGCGTAGAGCATCTTATGAAGAAATTGCAAAGTGGGCAGGAAGTGCGTGGAAATCGGTAGAAACATTGTCAATAATAGCAGGGTTCAAAGAAGCTGAAATTATATCCTTAGATAAAGAGACTGTAAACCAAGAGGATGAATGCGAAGATCTGGAAGACTTAGATCAGGATTTACTAAATCTTTTTAATTCAGATAGTGAAGAATCAGATTTTGATGGCTTCATATGATGTATAGTTTGCTGTAATTCGTAAGTAAAATTTAAAATTTCCTTTTGTCATCAAAATTTAATATTTCATTGTTGCAACATTTTTTATAATATAGTCTGAGTATTACAAATATGGACTTCTTTAATGGGTAAATATAAGTATATACGTGAAGGTAAATATATTTTCCACATTTCTTACCTTTAATTTATTTTTGAGTTATGGTTTCATTTCATGCATTTTTCTTAACTGGTATGTCATATATCAGGACTTAGGTTGAGTTTTTGCATTTATACGGCACACGACGATGTCACGCGCACAAATTTTGAATTTTATTGCAATAAAAAAACATTGTACATGTAAATTGTTTATTTTCTAATACAAGATTAGTAAATTTCTAACTAATAATTAAAAAACTCCTGATGCTGTTTCAAATAATATAAAATTAGATTTCGTTTCAAAATTTACATTTATTCATATATTTTGATGCACAGCAAGAAATCTTCCTAAGCTGATCACATATTATTTCAACAGATTTTTGTCTTCAATAGGAGTGACTACCCTACAGAACATCATTATTTGTGATATTCAATACTTTATTTACTTTCTAAAAAATATCATCATTTAAAGAAAGTTTCATCTTAGTTGAAAAGGTTTGGTTAACCTTTTAAATAATAGCAATTTTTTAAAATGACAGCTGTTGCCATTAAATTTGCAAAAAAGTTAATATAAACACAACAAAAATACTTTATTAAAAGTTAAAACAGTACTGTAAAAAGCATCAAATACAAAAAAAGTTCAAAGTAATTATTAATAGTTAAAATGCTCCTATAAATATATATTAAAAATCAAGAACTGCTCACACAAATTTTTTTTTTTAAGATTACAAAGATAGGTAAAAAAATACCTTTGTCCGTGCATCCTGTAAAACCACAAAATAAAAACATATCAGTAATCATATAGTAAGATACTTTAAATATTTATTAAACAGATACGCACATTTGGTAGATATATATGTATATGTATATGTAGGTTAAGTATGTATATATTTAGACACCAATACCATGAAACAGACTTTAAAATGCAAATCACTTGAGCCATAATTTAAAAGCAATTAGTAATTGATCCAAATTGCCAATTCACTAACATAATGACAATATTTTATATTTCATCAAACGCATTTCTTTCATTTTCACGAAATTAGAGGTTAGCAATTAGAAAGATGCATAATTATTATTGCATAAATAATTTAACTACAATACCACACATGACCAGAATTCCAAATAAAATTTAACATTAACTTAAATATAATTACTTAAAACATTTATTATATTATTTACATATCTAAAACTGGAATAAAATGTTACAAAATATACTAACATAGAAATAAACACACACACATATATATATATATCAAAGTCCACTTACCTCACTAAATAACAAGTGAACAATGAACATTTTCCCTTCATAGTTGATTTTCTGAATGTCTGGCCTACACAATTAAATTCCATTTAATAATAAGCATGGACATATAAAATGTTTATTTATGAATAATAAAACAAGATTATCTTTGAGTTTTTTAATATTAGTATTTATTAGAATATGGGAGGACAAAATAGAATGAAATAAAAGGAAATAGAAACATAATACCTATAGAAGTTACTAGAACACATTTCAGTAGCAATATGCAACCAAAAACATTTTTGGAATACTCTAGCATTTAGCAAGCATGCCACGAGAATTTGAGTAACTTATTATAAAAAAGGAGATGAAATTAGAGCATTTACAATAAACTGAGTACTAATTCCATATTCATGCAAAATGATATCTAATCAACCTTTTCATTTATTTTCTCAGCCAAATGTTCTCCTGTTTTAATGGGTAATCAACCCCTTCGAGCCGGGTAGCGAAAACGCGCACTTATCGCGGAGGCCGGCAGTGTCTTCCGCGAGCATCTCTCCAGGGCCGGGGGCTTTTTTGCTACTAAGCCTAAATCCATGAAATTTCCGAAGTATCAACGCATTGTTTAATAATGCTCTATAGAGTATTTAAACGGCTTATGCTTTATAGATATTTATATATATATACTTTAATTACCTTATTTCTTGTTTAAATGCATATTTTACACATTTTATTTTAATTACTCACCATTTTATGAATATTAACATTATACATCTGAAAACTAAATATATTACTTAAAATTCTCTTTTCGTATGAAAAAATTTTAAAACAGGGATCTACACACAGTCCTATGTTACATTCCTTGAACTCGTAATAAATCATTTGCCGTTTTGGAGGATTTTTCCGAGAATTTTCTATTGTGGATGACATGGAGAAGCACTTGTCGTCTCATGTACTTTTTATCAGTCTCCGAAATTCCTGAACATCAGTTTGATTCGGAAAATGTCTTTCATGTCAGAATCTTTCATAGAATCAGTATCACTAATATCAGAAACCTTTCAGCATCAATATCTGAAATATTTTGCATCATTTCTGCTATTTTCATGCTCTGTTAAACATTTTCGACGCTTCGACATTGAAACGGTAAAAACAGATAAAAAACAGAAAGAATTCACGTCTAACAAGATCTAATTATTTTCTAAAAACTGAACTGTAAACCAAAATACTCAACGCTTTAGCGCATCTAAAACTTCTACTTACAATAAACACCTAACACGTGCGAATAAAGTGCGATTTAAAGAGACGTCATAAATCATGCCATTCGGAAACATTTAGTTCCCCGTTTGTTTATATAATAAAAAACACGTGTATGTGAGTCATGCTTCTCTCATTTCGAGTAGAATGTCTAATGTACATGTATCTGAAACCATATGGGCATACAGTGCCATCTTGTGGCAGAAATTATAGTTTGAAAAATGTTCCAAGGTACTGGCACAAATACGTGACATTCGGTAGAAAACGCAACATTGCTCTGGCACGCCTGCGTGTCGGCCGGTAGATAAGTGTGTTTGTTGCTGGCACGTATACATGACAGTTGGCACGAAGGGGTTAATATACACTAACGTTTCACTGTAAAGAAAATGAGTAAGTTAAACAAAAATAAAAAAAATAAAGAAATGAAAATTAATTTACCATTTTAAATGATGTGTTTTACGGCTACCTTGAAATGTCAAGATACCTGCATAATTTATACCCAAATACAGCTGATTTCCTTTATGGTCCTAGGAAGGGGGAAGAAAAAATGGAAAAATTAAAATATTAAGAAATTTGAAAGTTTCACATGAAAACAGAAAGCATGAAATACTTTATTAAGGAAAAATACATATTGTAATCACACAAACAGAAAATTAGTAAAAAATCTAGAAGCGACTGCTGTTTTAAAATCACAGACAATGAATATTAGAGTTAATTAAAAAAAGAAATAATTATTATTTTGTAAATTATTTTACATCACATAGTTTTCTAGAAATTTGAATAGTTTCTGATTATGAACACCACTGATGTCAACTTTCAGTTGAAGTAAATGTTTTTGATAGATTTTTAAGTATTATTGGAATAATAAATAACCCACATATGCACATTCAACTTACATGTTTGAGTAGATTGACATGTTTTATATTTAATGATCATTTTGTTAAACAGTACCCAATGGTTACAAAAATGCACATACTAATAATATACACCATTTTTTAAATAAAATTTCTTATGTCATAAAAGAGCAGTATAGCTAAACACGTTTTTTTCCTAACTAGCAAAACTGCAGACTTTTCCTGAGAGTTTAAATAATCAGAAAGTACTGAAATTTATAAAAACAAGGACTACAGTTGATACAAATCACTACCCAAGCCCAGAGCTGTGTGTCCTTGGGTCAGTACATGCACTATTCTCACCTTATTTTCCCTGCAGATTAAAACTTGCTCAGTCAAGTTTGGCAGTCAAAAGACTTATGAGCATACAACAGTTGCCTCAAAGCACCGAATAACACATTTGATCAAATTTCTCATTCATGAAAACATCCAATTATTTGAAATTTAGCAATTATCCAATTATATGAAGAATAGGTGCATCATTATCAAAAAACTTGTGTTGATACTTTCAATGTGTTGGTAGTGTAGAAACCACTGTAAAAAACATTTGAACTATGGCAAAGTGCATTCTTCGTGGGCTCCATGTGCACTGGTAGACAACATAGTGATTCACACACAAACAGCCAGTTCTCTCCTATAGCAGTTTGAAAATGAAGGGGATCTATTTTGGGAATCTATAGTGATGGCAATGAAACATGGGTCTACTACTTCAGTGCCAAGTCCCAAATTAAATTAAAAGCAAATGAACATTCATCAGAAACAAAAATACTAAACTCATTTTATCTTTATGGAATCTTTATAAAAATTTCAGCTCAACAGCTGAATATACTTAGGAAACAAAAGTAAATAGCTACATACTCTAAAATTTAAAAGAAAGTGAGCATTTCATCAATAACAAAAAGAATGCAATTCATTTTACCTTTACAGGATGAGGATCCACTCCATATGTATCTAACAAACAAGCTTTACGTAAAAAATTCATCTCAGCAACTGCTGGAACCTGTCCCCTATAAAAATAATACAACATTTTTATTAATTAATAAAGAAAAGGAAATTGTTAAAATAAACTTAACATTTAAAAAAAAAAAGTGGATAAAACTAAACCTTAATGTTTGATGGATTTCAATGATTTTTTCTTCCAGTCTTTGAGTCTGCTTTAGCAGAAGTTTGAACTCAGACACATAATTAGGAGGATGCTCATCAGGATCATAATCACCAAGCTCAGCTAAATATCAATATAAAGTTTCATAAAACATATATGAATTATAATGATTATGCTAATATACATAAAATAATGAATATTCATAATTGAACCAGAGAAAGCATATGTTTGAAAATTAAGGATAGAAAAATTTTCAATCATTAAATAAGTTTCTTAAAAAAACTGAGTTTCCAAAACTATGTGTACTAAGGTAGAGTGACATGCTAAGAAGATTTGCAGATACTAGCCTTCCACAATATGTGCCAACAGTCAGCATTTACACAGAATACAGGATCACTTTATAAACAAACAAGTAAAATATATATTGCATTTTACAACTGAACAGCAACAAATATATTGCTAATGAGAAATTTTAATATCACAATTACAGAAGTGAATGGCTTCATTAAAGCTGCAATATTTAGCTTAGTTATTGAAATCATTAAGCATTTGGGTTGGTCCATTTTGTGTCATATCTATTAGAAAAATATTTATTAATATTATTATTACAATAACATTTTAATCACAAAAATTTTATTAAATATCAAGATGAATAATCAAAATTTACACAATTTTTCAAACAAAAAAACACATTTCTAATAGCACAGCATGGTATTAAAGTTGTTCCACTCATTAAATAAGATATACATAATAAACCCATTTCAAATTAAAATGGTGGAGAAAAATAAAATAGAAAACTGAGTTCTGAAGTTATTTTTGTTATCAATTCTTTCCACTGTTTTGTTCTTTAATAGTAAATACATATTTCATAATATATTGGATTATCCAGAAAGGTTTTTATATTTTTTATGATAAATACAAATGAAACAAAACAAAAAAATATATATTAAAAAAAAATTCAATGAATCACATAAGCATTATTTTGATCTGTAACTTCCTGCCATCACTATAGAAGGCAGAAAATTCCTTTTTACTTCTTTGTATGAAGCAAACAAAGTATTGTACTTGCAAAAACATTTGAACAATTTTTTTAGATGACATCTATATGTATGAACAGAACAAAGGTCACTTTTTTCCAAAATAGATTGCAAAATGGATTTTTTTGTGGCATATGTATGCATTTCAAATAACTCAAAAATAATTAGCCATAGAACATTGACATTTTGTATATGGGAATGCTGTAACATTTAATTATACACCTCCCTTTTTGTTGGAATCAACTATATATATATATATATATACACCCACTTACCAGGATTTAAAATCCCTACTCAGCTCTTATTTTCACAAATGTTGGTCTAGTCATATACCTCCAATTAGAAAAGTGATTCAAATTACTAAAATATTCATGCTGCGGCAGTATCAAGGTAAAAAAATTTTTTTTCTGACAAATAATGAAATCCAACATTTAATGCGATCTCCCAGTTTTACTTGATATATGGTAAAGTTTATTAGAAAAGTGATTCAAATTACTAAAATATTCATGTTGCGGCAATATCAAGGTAAAAAAAAAATTTTTTTGACAAATAATGAAATCCAACATTTAATGCGATCTCCCAGTTTTACTTAATATATGGTAAAGTTTCATACTTGTCATAAAAGAATAGGTTTAATTTCAATACAACAAAAATTGACCGGTACATTTAATTTCAAAACTTGAAATATTTTATGTCATTTTCAACTTGCCTTGGGGAATTGGGGAAGTAGAATAATTCAAGAAAATAAGTTTAAATTAAGTGCAGCAAAAAATTTCCATAATTTAATAAGCTGTGTTGACATCAGATTTTTTAAAAACTGTCAATAGGTTTATTCAGAAAGAAGTTATCGAGATGCTGTTTGACTATGTCCAAAGAAAAAAGTCAGATACAGGTTATACAAAACAATTTTAATAAACTTAAAGAGATGAAAATCTAATGGGCAATGATTTTAGTATTTTCTTTATTTTAATTAAGCAGTATTTTGTAGTATTTTTAATTCCCACCATATCTTTTCCAAGTTAATCTGTGGGACATTAATTTAATAGTTTAAATGACAACTGCAGTAAAAATAAAACTTTAACAAAAATATTGTTTGATAATTACAAATGGGTATTAAAGTAAGTTTAGTAAAAATAATATATTTAAAAGGAAAACACTGAATTTTATGTCTTGGAAAATACATTCAAAGAGACAATATTCTTAAAAATGATATGCATGAATATTATCAAACACTTATTTTTATGAAAACAGATTACTCAAAAAAACTACACTTTTCTGTTAACACAGACTGTTAGCTGGCACGAAGGCATAAGGAAGGAGAAAAACCTTACACTTTCCGGCTCTTATATTGTGATTGAGACCACAGTCATGAATCCTGGTGGTGAAGAATTATCATCTACCACCTTTTAATTTGTGCACCACTTGTACAGATCACTGTACATTTTATTTTGGAGCAAAAGATATGAAAAATATGTAATGCAGTTGGTGGGGCTCTAACTCTGGACCTTCCAATTGCTACCTGGAAGTCTTTTCCAGTAATATCATGAATGCATGGTAGGAATCTACATGTCACAGCTAGGTCATGTTGATGTTTATTTCATCATAGTTTTACATGGCATCACAAGTCAGGATCAATAATATTATGTTATAGGTATTCATACTCAATAACTGCCAATTCATTTGCTTAACAAAAACTGAAAGGCATACCAGTGGCCCAGCGGTAAAGTTGCTGAACACTGGTAGTTCGGTCCGAGGTTCGAATTAAGCGAACGGGCTGGCTGCATGGGCGTTTTCATGGTTTTCCCCATGTGTAACATGTATACGAGGCAGTTTCCCTTAGAAAGTCCTCCACGAAGCCACCCCTCCCCTTAGGCAGATAGCCCTAGTGTGCTTTGCCGTAATTCTCAATAAACCAAACCAAACCTAACAAACTGAAAATGTACACGAGGAAATTCCTGGATTGATATTCATTCCTCTCGCATATTTCATAGCACAGTTATTCATGATGCTATACACACAAGCTACTACAACTGGCACCATGTTAACAGAAAAGTACTGAAAACCAGTATAGTACAAAGTCCGAGATCCGGACGCCCAATATCCAGAATGATCTAAAATCCGGACCTCAAAACCACCAACTTTTTTTTTAAAGTGCTTTATATATATTGATCATTTGATTTTTCCCCACATAGATAAAACATATGGAGAGTCCCGACTCTTAATTTATCTTCTGCACTAAATAAATACCTTGTTATTGAAGAAAAAATTTAGCAAAATTTTGTGTGATTAATAATTTGGCTCTGTAGCTGCATATCTGTTTGGCGTACATTTCAAACCGAAACATTCTAGATAGAAACATCACTGATTTTACACCTACTAATATCTTATATCCCTGATGCTAACCTGGTGAATCATTATTTATTGTATTTTGCTTTCATCACTGCATGTTTATCGACACAGGACAACTCAAGTAACGACTCATGCTACAATGCCCAAATACTTTTTTTTTATATTAGTAAATTTTTATACACTACAAAGTCAGTAATCCGGGCGTCCATTATCCGGAATGATCTATAATCCGGACCTCAAAGCCACAAACCTTTTTTTTATATGCTTTACGCATGCGCGTTTAATGTATAACGGACGGTATAAGCTAAACTAAAATTTTCTTTACTGATTCTAAGGCATTTCAATTAATGTTGCAGATTGTGCTGTTCCTTAATCTTCTAATTGGATCCGGCTTATTATTTTTTCCAGACTGTTAGAGCAATTTTATAAAAATTAAGCTTGAAGTTTCGATTATGTCAAAAAGAGTTTCCAATTCTGAAACTGCCAAAGGATCTATAAAGCGAAAGCATGTTTCAAACAAAAAGTGGAATTATTGGGTTGGCAACTAAGTAATTGCGGATTTCACTCATAGATGGCTTCAGTTGAATTTTTAGGATTGCAGACATAGTACAAATGTAAAACACATTTTGTTATTTGATAGTTGGCAATTCAGCGAATAAACGAGATAAGATATTCTGATTATATCTTATCTCGTTCATTTGCGCTTTTGCAGCTGAGGATGATGTTTCGGTAAAACCATCGAAACTAGTCCTGTGGAAATTTGAAAATATTACTCTGATTTTTGTTGTTTGACTTCTAAATTAGTACTTGATCAGCATGTAATGGTATCATAAAAAGTGATATTGCTGCAAAAAATAGATAAAGGCATATCCGTCTAAAAAAAATATGAGGAGTACGACATTGGAAAGTCAACTGTATACGACATAATCAAAAAGAAAAAGGAACTTTTTGAATTTTTTGTGGATTTCGACACCCCACTTGCAATGAATAACAGAAAAAGGGTTCGTTATGCTAAAAGTGATGATCATGACAAAGTGATGATTGAATGGGTCAGACAGCATCGCAGCGAGGGTGTGCCATTGGCAGGTCCAAAGCTAATGGCTCAAACTAAAATATTTCATGAAGAAATCAACTTAAAAACTGAGTGCACATATTCGACAGGTTGGTTAACCAAATTTAAAAATCGCCATGTATAAGGCAATTAAAAGTTTCAGGTGAAAAGGCTTCAGCTGATACTGATTCATTAAACTCATTACTAGTGAACAATTATCTCCAGAACAAATTTATAACACTGATGAAACTGGTCTTTTCTGGCAATATGTACTGCAAAATACCTTGGCAACCTCTACAGAAAAGGCTCCAACTGGTGTCAAAGATTCCAAAGAAAGACTAACAATTTTAGCATGTGCAAATGCTGCAGGAATGCACAACAACAAACTTTTCGTAATCCGAAAACATGCACGACCTCGAACATTTATAGGAGTAACGATTTTCCCCGTTATATATTGCACAAATAAAAGAGCATGGATGACACAAGCATTGATGAATGATTGGTTTGAAAATCATTTTATACCCGAGGCTCGGCGACATTTAAATTCGGTTGGTTTACCTGATGAATGAAAACTAGTCCTGATTGTTGACAACTGTTCGGCACATACTTCACTTAAAGTTTTAGACAAAGATAATGTATCCGTATTATTCTTCCCTCCAAATTGTACATCTATCATTCAGCCTATGGATATGGGAATACTGCATGTGCTGAAATGCAAATATAAGGTAGCATTTTTAAAATCTATGTTAAATTTCTTGAACAATGGCAAGACTATTTAAGACGTTTTGAAATTTTTTAGCATAAAATCTGCTGTATGGAGCATCGCAAGATCGTGGCAGGATGTGTTTCCAGATACGTTAAAAAATGCCTGGCATAATTTATGGCCAGCTACCATATTTCATGGTAAGGACGATGAAGATGATAGCCGCAAATTTGAAGGTCTTCAGAAATCGCCAACAAAAGGTGAAATTTTCCAGTTATTAGATTTTGTAAAGAAATGTGGAGAAGCAGTAATAAATGAAGAGGATATAACAGAAGTTTTTCATTGTGACGACAATGCCCCAATCATCAATCAATTAATGGACGGCGAAATCTGTAGTACACTTCTAGATCCAGAAAATACCACTTCCAATAGTGAAGAAAGTGACAGAGAGGTTGTTGAAAACGAAAAAATTTCGATCGACAAGTTAGTCGGTATTCTCGACACAGCAATTACAGGACATGAACAGTGGAACTTTGTAACTGAACAAGAAATTATGTCTGTTTATAGAATTAAAGATAAAGTATTAGCACAAAAAACAAAGCAACTTAAACAATTTACATTGAAAGAAATGTTTGATAAAGTAAACAAATAAATATTAAGCCCTTTTTTTTGGGTAAATTTTGATACTCTTTAGATCAAAATTGCTCTTTATTTCATAAATTAGGGTTTCATATTTTTAACCGTATAATTTCTTAATGCCATCTCACCAGATTTAAATTGATGGTCTATAATCCGGAAAAAACCCTAATCCGGAATCGCCGAAGTCTCGACGAGTCCAGATTACGGACTTTGTACTGTATTAATACAAAGAGTATGGTAACCTTTTACGTTGGCATTATTATGCTTGGCAATGATTACAGATTGAAGTTAAATACGCTAAGAAATACTGATGAGAAAAAATTTAACAGAAATTTCCTTCCATATGCCAAAAATAGAATTTGTTAATGATACTCATAGGCCAAAAGATTACATTTAGTGCTATTTGAATTAAGAATAAGTGATTCATTTTTCACATAAACACAGATCCCGTGGTAGAGCTTGTATGGCCATACTGGGCGGCAGAATTCAGGGAAGACAAGATTTTTGGAATTTAGTGAAGCACCAAGCAAGAAAATTAAAGGATAAATATTTTTATATATTAAAATATTTTTAGAATTTAGGGAAAGCACTGAGATCCAAAATTTAGGGGCCACAAAAATTTGGGAGGTGCTTGGTAGCAGAATTTAGAATCCCCAGAGACTGCATCAGGCGGTAAAATAGCTAGTATCGGCCCTCAATAAGCCTTATGTGTATGTGGGAATTTTTTTGAGCATGCTGATTACTCAAGTTTCGATTTGTGTATTTTTTAAATTTTACAGTAAGTACAATTATATTTAAGTTATACTTAGTATAAAATAGTTCATATTGAGTAGTAATTTAACATTTTTAATGTCAGATTAAAAAAATTTTGAATAAATTATTTTTGTGAAATGTATTGTCGCAATCATATTTACCATGTTAATATATACCAGGTATAATAGTGGGTTAATATGTCCCATCAGTGATCAAATTACCACATGCTGATATATATTATGTTTGCATATGTATGAAAATATTTGTTTTATATGAACTAGTGCATGTGACAGAGTTTACATTTTGTAATATTCACAATATATTACTGTTAACTTTAGCTTTGTTTTCTCAGAAAGGATAATATTTTAGATGATTGGGACAAATAGTCCCAGTTGGCAACACAATTGGAACATACTGTCCAAGGAGATTTCCAGGAAATGGGAAAAGTTAAAAACTTCAAACTCAAATTACACTTCTTTTAGTATGTAAACATTAAATTAAACTACTTTTCATAGTTAAATTTTAATCATGCTAATGTCGGGTTGAAAGTGTTAAGCATGTGCAAGATTAAGATGTAAGTACAACAAGTAACTAAACTAATACAATCAGGCTTGATTGTCTCAGCACACGATAGAAGCAAGACAAAATTTAGCAGAGCAACTTGTCTTCTGTCATCAATCTCATGACACATAGCAATTAACATATAGCGGACACTATTTTAAGCTAGGCAAAAATTATACTTTACTGATTCCAAAGAATTTCAGCCAATATAGCAGATTGTGCTTTTCCTTAACTTTCTGATTTGATCCAGCTTAATTACTTTTTGCATGCTGTTTTTATTACAAAAATTTGATGAAAATTAAAGTTTCAACTTTCAATCATGTCAAAAAGAGTTTCTAATTCTGGAGCTGCAAAAGCATCTACAAAGCAAAAGCATGTTTCAATATCCATTAAACAAAAAATGAACATGGATAAAGGTATATCTGTCTCAAAATTATATGAGGAGTATGACATTGGAAGGTCAACTGCATAAGACACAAGAAAACAGAAAAAGGAATTTTTGAATTTTTAGTAATTCTAACATCACATTCGCAATGGATAACAGAAAAATTATTTGTTAGGCTAGAAGTGAAGATCATTACAAAGTGATAATTGAATGGATCAGACAGCATTGCAGCAAAGGCGTGCCATTGATGGGTCACATGCTAATGGCACAAGCTAAAATATTTCACTAAGAGATGGACTTAAAAACTGAGTACACTTATTCGATAGGTTGATTAAACAAATTTAAAAATCTCCTTGGTATAAGGCAGTTAAGAATTTCAGGTAAAGAAGCTTCAGCTGATATTGAAGCTTCCAAACTATTTGCACGTGAATTTATTGAACTCATTAATAGTTAAAAGTTATCTCCAGAACAAATTTACAGTGCTAATGAAACTGGTCTTTTCTGGAAATATGTACCACAAAATACCTTGGCAACCTCTATAGAAAAAATTCCTACTCGTTTCTCTCATGATTCCGAAGTGAGACTAACAATTTTAAAATGCACAAATGCGGCAGGAATGCACAAGTGTAAATGTTTCATAACTAACAACAAATACATGACCTCGAGCATTTTTAAAGGAGTAAAGTGTTTCCCGCTATTTATCGTGCAAATAAAAGAATACAGATGACAAAAGCGTCAATGAATAATTGGTTTGAAAATCATTTCATACTTGAGGATCGGCAGAATTCAGTTGGTTTACCTGATCATGCAAAAATTTTCTTATTTGTAGACAGCTGTTTAGACATTCTCGATTTTTTGCATTCCCGGAATTCCTGAAATTTTCCCAATTGTAGACAGTTGTACTTCACTTAAAGTTTATAGTGAAAGATAATGTAATTGTATTAGTCTTTCCTCCAAATTGTACATCAGTCATTCAAGCCTATGGATATAAGAATAGTGCATGCGCTGAAATGCGAATATAAAGTAGAATTTTTAAAATCCATTTTAAATTTCCTGAATAATGGCAAAACTATTCAAGAATTTTTGAAACATTTTAGTGTGAAATCTGCTTTGCAGAGCATCGCAAGATTGTGGGAAGATGTGCCTCCAGATACTTCAAAAAATGCTTGGCAAAATTTATGGCCAGCTAGCATGTTTCATGGTGAGGTTGATGAATATGATAGTCACAAAAGTGAAGGCTTTTGGATATCATAAACCAAAGGTAAAATTTTCCAATTAATGGATTTTATAAAGAAATGTGGAGAAGCGGTAATAAATGAAGATGATATAACAGAAGGTATTCATTGTGATGACAATGCCCCAATTAACAGACGGCAAAATCTGCAGTATGTTTCTAGATCCAGAAAATACTGCTACCAATAGTGAAGAAAGTGACAGAGAAGTTACTGAAATGAAAAAACTTCAATTAACAAGTTAGTTGGAATTCCAGACACAGAAAATTGCAGGACTTGAACAATGGAACTTTGTAACTAAATAAGAAATTATGTCTGTCTGCAGAATTTAAAAAAAAATATTAGCACAAGAATCGAAGCAACTTAAACAACTTGGATTGAAAGAAATGTTTAATAAAGTAAACAAATAAATATTAAGCTTTATAAATGCTTCATTACTTCATACATTATGATTTCATATTTTTAATTTTATAATTTCTACATGCCATCTTACAAGCTTTAAACTCATGACCTAATATCCAGAAAAATCCCAAATCCAGAATTGAAGTCTCGATGAGTCTGTATTTCTTAGTGTATTATCTAGAATGGTCTTTTTCTGATCAGATCAAATCTACAGCATTTTAAATCCATAAAAAATGTGGTATTTTCTGATTACCAATACCTCATGAAAAGCATATAACTCAAAAGCAAAAACATTTGTTTTGCTATCTTTATTGCTCATAGGTACAATTCTATTTATAAATAATAATAAGCAGAAAAATTTTATTAAAAACAAGAAATTTTATATAAGAAAATGAAACTCTATATGTAATAGATTTTTACAGTCATTTAAATATAAAGCATATAAATCGACATGTATTTAAACATGTATGTTGTTCACCCATGCATGGGTTGGCTATTGTCAGAAGTATACCTCAAAATAGCACAAATCATGGCAATTTCAATGTATGTTAAAACTGGAGATTTAGATAAACAGAAAGTATAAAAAAAAAATTCTTTACCTTTTGAAAATATCCCCCCCCCAAAAAAAAGGTCTACAGTAAGTATCATCACATGTTCGTTTGGACAATCATTTATAAAATGAAAGACTTCTGACATTAATAATAATAATAATAAATTAAACATTAAAAAAACTTTAAACCGACACATATCAAAATACAAATATACAAGTGTTTTAATAAAATACTTACACTGAATTATATATGCAGCAAGTAAAGCAGCATCGCTCTGAGAACAATATAAACGACCATGAAGAAGATCACGTCTTAGCTGCAGAAATATTTGATACCTGGAATAAAAATATTATTAAAATATTTATGAGCAGTTTCATTGTCAAAATATAATAGACAAATGACATCCTGTATGTACTCAACCAAAATAACTGAATAAGCTATAATTTCAAGAGGTGATATATACTTGACTTATATCAAGCATAAAGCACAAAATTATCTGAACTGATAGCTTTGGGCTAATAAACAGCAGCTTGCATTCACATTTCAAAACTTGATTATATCAACTAAACCCTGGAGTACATAAAATACAGGAAAATTCTTATGAATTAAATTCAAAAGATGATAAAATTGATTATAATTGATGAATTAATATCACCCAAATAACTTAAAATTATGAAGCTGAATAAACCTGGAAACACTCTATTGATCAATTAGTGATATGTAATAAAATTTAGCAAGCATCAATAAATAAGATTAAGGCCATATTTCTGTTATGATTGTTTTGAAATCTATAGATAGAGCTGCAATATTGCTTACTGAGAAATTATTCAAATGAATAATTTATAAAAATTAAATTTTACTGCTTAAATACAACTTATAATATTTTTAGTCATGCTCTGACAGATATTGCCCATCTAAACGTCACTGAAATTTTAAATACTGGGTTGCTGCAAATGACAGCAGCAGGCCATTAAATGACATACGGATTCTACAGATTATATAAGAAAGCAAGTGCTGAGGTTTATGCAAACTTTATCATATGATAATACCACTTATGGGTGAAGCAACTATAATATTTATTTTGTTTTCAAAGAGCATTAAGCACTGAATATTACTGATATCAAATGCTGAATCTGAAATGAAATATATGCTAAATATCTACAAAATTTAAATGGGAAACTTTGCAAAGGCTTCAGTAAAAAACACTGATAAATTATTGAGAGATGTATTTGCCACACATTCAGAAAATTTATTGGAAGCTACAGAATAAAATTCATGGCCATTAGCTCTCTTCCACTGCTTTGAATAAATTAAAGGATTTGATCAAATTAATTTCATGATGAACTGTGTATGAGATTGCCCAGATACTAATTGTACACTTACCTTTCAATTGATTCTTGGTACTTCGCAATAGCTGAAAAAGTAAGGAGGCATGGCAGTGGGTGCTTCACAAACATACTGTTATTCTTTCTTAAGAAGAAATAAAGAAAAAGGTTCCAGCAATTAATTGTAACTGTGGATGAGAAGTGGATGTTTCTAGACAGTTACATAGATTTGTTGTTGTGGTTAGAAGTAAAAGATGCTCCAGGAAGGACTCCAAAGGCAGAAAGAAGATGCATGTACTATGTAATGGTTTGCAGCTAGTTTATTCACTGTACATTTCTTTGATGACGTGAAATGATAAATGCAGCTCAGTAATGTACAAATATGTACCGAAAGTATGACATATTATGCTTTTAGAGAGACAACACATGTGAACTGATGCTTCACTCTATCACTTCAGAATCTCTATCATTTCAGAATGATGCACAACTATGTACATCTGTACAGCAAATCAAAAATTTAGGATATAAAATTCTGCCTCATTCTCTGTTACACTTCTAACATTTCTCCAACAAATTACAATTTTTCCCCCTCAGTCATTTATTCCCCTAGTCCAAGAAATACTTTGCCAACGATGCATCAGTTATACATACACTGAATTGCCACTGAATTAGGGATACCAACCTAGTAACGAGTTGGGCCTGCTCTGGTCTTGATAACGGCTGCCACACGACGAGGCATAGATTCAAAAAGTCTCTGGAAACGTTCCATGGGAATGGCTTGCCAAATATTGGCTAAACCTGTACATAATTCAGTAAAGTTTGTTGGTGCTAAGGCCTTGTTCCCAAACATCTCAAAGATGCTCGATAGGATTTAAGTCTGGGGTTCTAGGTGGCCAATTTATGACAGAAAAGTCAGAGGAAGCTGATCCAACCAGCAAGTAGCCAACCGGGACTTGTGAGAGGTACAGTTGTCTTGCTGGAAAATTCCATTACCATGCGGATAACAGAGCAGCATGAACGGATGGATGTGACTACCAAGCAACTCTACGTACCGAATTCCATTGACAGTTGTTGGTACAAGCACTAACAATCCCAAACAGTACCACGAAAAAACACCCCAGACCATGATTGAGCCACCATGCCCTTGTACAGTTCCAACCTGATATGCAGGATACATGGCTTCCTGAGCCTGACGCCATATTCTCAGCCTCCCGTCGGCATTAAGTAGAAGGAATCAAGACTCGTTTTGAGTCAATGCTACTTGTTTCCAGTCCTCTAAACTCTAGTGCTCTCTTGCCTAAGCAAGATATGCAGCCTGACGGCGAGCATTGAGCAATGGTACTCTCGTAGGCCGACATCTCCCGAAACCCATACGGTGAAGTGAACATCCATTTACTGACTGTACAACTGGCATCATCATTCAACTGGGGGGTAATTTGAGCTAATGCTTGGCTTTGCTGGCTACGTACAATAAATATGACTAAGCCATCTCTCATCAAGCACAACCAAGGCTAATTGTCCTTTGCAGTTTGCCTGATCACTAGTTTTCTGTCCACCATCTATGTATTCTTGGTATACTCTTGACACTGTCGACCTTGAAAATCCTAGCTGTCTGATGATTCCAGAAATCGAATGGCCCATGCGTTACGCACCTACGATTTGTCCGCAATTGAAGGTGTCTAAATCAGGCAGTTTACCCATACTGGGAATTACAACAACTAATTCAAAACAACAACACTATCAGCTATATATGCGGCATAAATGCATAAATGATGTGCAGAGCTACACAATTTGCATAGCCCTTGTTATCCCTAATTCAGTGGCACTTCAGTGTATATATACATTACAATCAGTGGAGGACATCAACACTTCCAGGGACACTTACTTACAAATATAGCATAAAAGACTTTGCTACATATTGGCAACAATGCACTGATGCTAGAGATTACTTAGATTACAGCAGTATTCTTCTTTATCATAATCTTTAAAATTAGCCACTGTATTTGCAAAAGCTCAATAAATAATTATTCTTAACCCTAATTTTGTTCTCATAGCTTTAAAATTTGCATTATATGTATTTTTTTTTTTTTTAATTATCGAGAAATGCAAGTTGAACGTTCTATTCCTGCATAAAAAATTCTGGTAAAAGTTTACAATTGGGTGTCTCTTGTTTTTTGACAATTCTTTTTTGATGCCAAGATCGGTGCCAGGAAGGCACAATTTCATGATGGCCGCTACATGAAACCAAAATAAGAAGTCAAAGAATAGCACAAACTCTGCTTTCATGTACACATCGATCTGTTTTCACTTGAAAAAAAATCATAGAATTGCACAAACTAGGCATTGTGCACTGCCTTAACCCTTTCAGGACAGGCGTTCCATATACGCATTCCCTAAGAACATCTCTTACAGCCAGATGTCCCATCCATGCATCACTAGAGATTGCATTCAGAGGATGGGTGATACATATATGCATTTTAACCTGGAATGTTTTTCTGAAGGCCACTAGATGGCATCCTATGTCCATTACTTTTGAAATGAACACAGTTTTAGGTTCCTGACCTTGAGTTCGATATATTCTGCATGACTTTGGTATTTTACTCATCAATTGTTCTGAGGGCTGGGAGGAAGCGTAAACAGAGGTGGCCTCTTTAAATCACCACATGTTTTTAATATAAACATTTTCGTGTTTGATTTGTATCCAATTACTTTTTTATTATATTTCTTTTTCCGCTTCTGTGTATGGTTTACTATGTAGAGTTCTATAACATTTTGCATTGCCTTCAGCTATATTTCCGTTTCTTCTCTTTTCCCCCTCCAGTCTAATATGATGGGAAGGCGCTATTTATCAGAGGAAGAATACACTTATATGGTTAATGAACCATTTACTAACACAGATGAGAGTAATGATTCATTTTCTAAAGAGTTAGAAAGTGATACTTTTTCTAAGAGTTAGAAAGTGATACTTCTTCGAAATTTACCACACTCAGTCTTCATTGTAAATTTTGTTACTTCTTACTGTAAATAGTTATTATTGAGTTGTTTTATTAATTTTAAACTCTACTGATGGATTTTATCAATTAAAACTTTGCAATAATTTGAATAGCGCTTCCAAAAATTATTTTACAAGATAAGCAATTTTTTTAAGTATATTTTAATGTAAAATAAAGAAAAAAACGTTATTAGGTGCTAATTTTAACATATACAGTCAAAAGTCATTAATCCGAACTCGTCAGGAGTTCGGAGATTCCGGATTATCGATTTTTCCGGATTATAGATCATCAGTTTAAATCTGGTAAGATGGCATGCAGAAATTACAAAATTAAAAATATGAAACCGTAATTTATAAAATAAAGAGCAATTATGATCTAAAAGGTATCAAAATTTACAAAAAGAAAAAGCTTAATATTTATTTGTTTTATTAAACATTTCTTTCAATGTAAGTTATTTAAGTTGCTTCGTTTCATGTGATAATACTTTCTCTTTAATTCTATTAAAAAGACATAATTTCTTGTTTAGTTACAAAGTTCCGCCATTCAAGTCCTATAATTGCTGAGTCGAGAATACCGACTAATTTGCCAATCGAAATTTTTTCGTTTTCAATAACCTCTGTGTCACTTTCTTCACTATCGAAAGTGAATTATAATGACGAGGAACTTGATTTAAATCATATCAAAGATTGAGTACATCGAGATGAAATACTACATTTAATAAGGAATTATAAGCCAAATAAAATAAAAACATCTGCCCTGAAGATAAGGATAGTGCTGACAGATCAACTTCCAATTCATTGCACGCCGCGGCGTTTCCCCTCGCTGCAAAGCAGTGTGAAATTGATAAACAGATTTCGGATTTCGAAACATACTTTCGCTTTGTATATCCTTTACATATTAGTAAATATATATTGGAAATTCTATTTGACATAATCGAAAGTTCAAGCTTACTTTTATTAAATTGCTCTAACAGTCTGCAAAAAATAATAAGTCGGATCCAATTCGAAGATTAAGGAACAACGCAATCTGCAACATTAACTGAATTAGATAATTTTAGCTCAGCTTATACCGTCTGTTATACATTAAACGTGCATGCGTAAATATATTATGGACATGCGCACATGCATATTCGCAGCCGTAAAGTTCTTACGCGCACGCGTAAACGGCTATGCGCATGCGTCAACGTGACGCATGCGCAGAAAGGTTGTAGCTTTGAGATCCGGATTATAGATCATTCCGGATTATGGGTGTCCGAATTAATGACTTTTGACTGTATAAGAACTCAAGTAATAATCTAAAATGATACCAAAAATTACGATCCTAAAAGTGAAACTTTTGTTTTCCCGAATTTTTTTTATAAAATTATGGTTATGGGTTATTCAATTATGGCAAAGCACACGAGGGCTATCTGCCTAAAGGGAGGGATGCCTTCATGGACGAATTTCTAAGTTTATAAAATTAGGCTTAGCGATGCCAAATCTCTGTCCTGTACGGTGACTGCCTTCGATTGCCTTCCATCCCGCGCGAGCATCTTAAATAAAGTTGCGCCGTCGTGAAAGGGTTAAATTTGTCCATGTACACATCAATCTATTTTCATTTAAATAAAACCAATAAGCTAAAACAAAGTTAAAACTAGTATGGTAACCAAAAGTGAGGTTTTATTGCCAAAATTAAAAAAAAATTGTTGCTAATCGAAGGGGCACCCAATTCTACATCAGAGGCAAAATTCTTAGGCTCCCTCATTTTTGCTAGAAGAACTTTCTAAATAAAAAGTTATGAGGACTTCATTTTTCAAAAACTGTCAGTACAGAAGAAGAATATAAATTAACAGAATAAACTAAATCACATTTTATCATGAAATTACCTCCGTTTGAAAATAACTGACATCCATTAGATACATTGAATATGAGAACTAACAAACCTGGTGATTTCTTCTCTTAACCTATATGGATCTTGAGGGTAAAACTTCACTCTAAAGCAGAAAACAATTGGATTCATGCCTAAAAAATAAAACAACAAAAATATGCAATCAGGTTTGCATACCATCTATTATGCATCACATTCTAAGAACAAAATATTAACCACATTACTCATTTACTGAAATATCTGAATTGAATAATTTGTCAAGTAAAATCACAAGAAGATTAACTATTTAATAACAAGAATATGAAAGAAAGAAAACTTTTTAAATACACCAAATATTTTTTTTTTTTTTTTACCTTTTACTTGCTTTAAAATGGATTTAGTAGGATCCAACCAGTGCTAAAATTATTAAAAAGGAATAAAGTTGAAATGTATTTTAAAGATAAATTTTACTTAGAACTTTAAAAATATTAGTTTCCTAATTTAAAGAAAAAATAGCATTTAATCAAGAAAATGTATACATTCCATACTTACTCTTTGCTTATGTGAATCCACATATCGTAATCCAAAGTAATCTTTCTCTATCAGATTTAGGGCTTTACATGTATAATCCAACAGGTACTGTCCCTTATAGTCACTCTGGGAGACAAAATGTAAATACTGAAATACATACATTGAAATGAAAAAGAAACTGTAAAAATTAAGAAATTAATTAGAAACCTTAAAACTGGACTTCAGCTGAATGAAAAAATAAATGGCTAAGACAGGAAATACCATAATCAGAAGTATGATATATATCAGGCCTCTCCAATCCAAATGTGGGTCGCCCTGGAAATGAGTTTTACTCCAGCAGGCTGCAATGGATATAAATATAAATTGACAAGCCAAAACATGATCATCCCCAGACTTTTCAATGAACACGCCTAGATGACGTAGAGGGCACATAATTAAATAGCAATAGTATTTCACTGCTGCTGGAGAAGGAAAGGAAATATTTTAGCACTTACTTTTGCGAGTGATGGCAAAGGTTGCTATCTAAGCAAATTTGGTACAGTCCTTGTCACCTATGCCTATTGCGGGCCTGGAACTGGAACACGGATACGTGAAAGACAGCTGCATGGTTAGATGAATCATGATTTCTCATTCGTCACATCAATGATCTTGCCAGGGTATGCCATCTTCGAAGTGAATAGTTGCTTCCCCTCTTCTGTGTAGCAGATCATACACAGGCTGAGGTGACAGTATTATGCTTTTGGGAATGTTCTTATGGGCAGCAATGGGATCCTTAGTTGTGGTAGAACAGACCATGAAAGCTGCAGATTATCTGAACATAACTGCACTTCAGTTGCACCCTTACATGGTATGTGTCTTCCTAACTGGAAATGGAATCTTCCAACAGGACAATGCCCCATGTAACAAGGCTCAAATTGCATTGGAGTGGTTCGAAGAGCATAAAGATGAATTCCAATTAATATCTTGGCCACCTAACTCAAAAGATCTTAACCTGATACAGCACATTTGGGATGCCATGGAGGGATAGCTCAGAGCTCAAACATCACCTTGTTCAAATATCTTAACTTTGCATGAGTGCTGCTTAGGCACTTGGTACAACCTGTCTCCAGTCATCTACCAGGAACTTGTGGCATTTATGCTAAGGCAAGTTGCAGCTATTTTGCAGGCTAAAGGTTGCACAAAGTGTTTTTGAGTAGATGATTATAATGCTTTGACTCTTCAGTATAAATATAAATACTATATATTTATTATGTCCGAAATCCAAAATCGTCGGGACTTCGATGATTCTGGATTTGGGATTTTTCCGGATATTAGATCATCAGTTTAAATCTATTAAGATGGTATTTAGAAATTATGAAGTGGACAGCTCATTTGTTAAAGCTCCCAGTGCTACAGAATTATTAACACATCTGCAGCTCATAAATCCACTTACTTGTTTAACTTGTATGTATTACATTTTTTAAATAATGGATATGACTATTTTTATTTTATCTTATTAAAATTTACAGGACATAAAATATTCAAAAGAACATTTTAAATTGCATGCATAATTTATATATACCTACAAAACTATTTAAAAAAAACAATCTAAAATACTTATTAATACCATTTTGATACAAAAAACTTGATCCCCTTAACAACTTGAATACAAAGTTCTAAAAGAATTAAAAATATCCAAGTAATTTTCCCCTTCCTGAAGGCATTCAGAAAGCGAGCATCCCTAAATTTAAAATGGTTTTTTCCTGCATAGTGGTTATTTTTATTGAGTTTCTTGCGGATGTTGGGTACATGGTATCCGTCTGATTAGGCAATAACAGTGAAGAGCTTCAACAAAACGAGAATATCTAATGATGGTTCTGAAGAAGCACATGGGAAAGACATTGAATGCTGATCAAGATGATGACTATGACTTGCAAGCTATAGCTGATGGACACAGATCACAGTTCCAACAGAATTAAATGATTTGAGAGCTGGGAAGTAACAGTGACCATTAAAAACAGGTAAGATTCAGGAAACAAAGAAGCAGAAATGAACATCTTATTAGATGATGTTGTAATGTTAATATTATCAAGCATTTTACAGAAATCTAGATTCCTTTTAAAGAAATAATATTGTGATAATGTAATACTAGTAATCTATGAATATTTTTCATTTGTTAGAGTAACTGCATCTTTTCGAAATAAAATGATTTGTAAAATTTTCCCATTTCAATTTCTTTTATGATAAAATTAGTAAAACAAGAAGGAAAAATACGAGAGTACATATGGTGGGATTTACCATCTCCAAAATACGTTTGTTATTCTATGATGTATTTCTAAACATAGATTAAACAAAACATAATGTGGTTTTGAAAACATTTTTAATTAATGATGCATGCATATTAGATACTACAGATTTATACTGCTCGAATCATCAATGCTTTTGTTATTGAAGAGAGCAAAATTAACTAAAGATTCTGTGTATTACTATACTACAGCAAAAGTTTTTATGACAACTCATAACACATTAACAAGTTGATTTAAATTATTTGACAAGTTTTATTTATTTGTGCAATTCTACTGAGTCGTGTTTAATTTTAAATAATGTGAGCTTTTATTTAAAAATATGGCCTGAATATTTGCCGAAAGCTTACGACTTTTAGTTATTTAGTTTTAATAATTACTTATTTATTTTAGCGTTGTTGTCATCAATTTATAAAACTGAGCTTTTTTTCATTTCCCTTTAATCTGTAACAGGATATGCATTAATTTTGTAACAGAGTATATATCTGAATATTACAAAATTCAGTTTCATTACTTTTTTTGACAATTTAGAGAATAAAACTTCATGATGAAATATCTATATTGCCTGTCATAAATGCTTCCTCCAGCTTTTGTTAAATTTTGAAATTTTGGTGGTTGAAATACTTACTGCATATTTCCATTTCTTTTCGACAGAAAGCAATGATTAATTCTCAAAAGGTACAATCAGTAAAATTTAGAATATGTTTAAGAGTTATTAATATATATAATATATATATTATAATGCAATTGTGATTAACTCTTTGTAGTTATTATAATGAAATTAAATCTTTGAAAAGTCAGAAACATTTGTTGAATACAAATTCAAAAATTAAGATGTTTATCTCCTAAATATTATTTTAATAACTTGATAAATTTTAACTGTTTTCATAAAATACAAATAATTATGCAGATTTGCTTTGAAAATAATGTTTCGTGTAATAAATTACATTAGGGCAATTAAAATGTAAGACCTCTCTCCCATCTAAACTCTGCATATATCACCTGGATAAACTTAAATTAGGACGGTCAAAACTGCATTTCAATAATAATATAGAAAAAGAAAACAATTCTAAGAAAACTGAACGAAAAAATAATAAAATGGAATTAGTCTGTTACAACTTTGCTGCAAATGCTTACAGTAAAGCGATCAAAATTAAAGTTTCCATTGGCGAATAATGCGCAGTTTTTTACAATGAATAAAAAATAATTATTATAAAAAAGAAAGAACGTTTTTATAACATTTTCCCTTATTATTACCTGAAAATCGCATTGCAAAACTTCTGTATCATCCAACAGTCTTATAGTACATTTGTAATCAATGTTTATCTCTTTCTTGCTTCCAAATTTAAACATTTTAATTTAAGCCAAAATTTGAGAATATAAACAAGCAAACTGGGCCAATGATTAAGAATACGATCATGAACTTCGTCTATGTGATTCGGTTAAAAGGACAGTATTCTACACGGTATTTACAACTGTCAAATTAAAACACTCAACATGGCAGGTTACAATTGACATTAATAAGTTGAGTTGTTTTACTTTTGCTTCCCACTATTTAGCATTTGTTAAAAATTTAAGTGAACGTCTCCGAATTGAATCTACGAATTGAATTTTTATAAATTATTAGTAAGAGATATTATAAAAAAAATAACATTCTTATTATTTGAATTTAAACAGAAGACTAAAGCAACAGTAAAAATTTTGAAATATAGTTGCTATAGTTTGTTTTCTTAACTGATGGATACGATTAGCGTCTGTATCATCATGTCTTGTTTTGATTCGCATGTGTGGTATTTTGTCTCCGAACTTCCTGAATTTTACCTGCATTTTAAATGATTCATGAACTGTATTGTAAGATTTTTTTATGTGTGTTTGTTCATTTATAGAGATTTAAATATTAAAAATTGTTGTTTCATGCAAAGCAAAATCTTAGTAGATGTCTTATTGGCTTGAAGTTTTCATGTCTATGCCTCTCATTAAAAAATGTTTTATTAAAAGAAAAGTAAAAAAAAAAAAAAAAAAAAAAAAAAAACAGGAAATAAACTATTTGAAATGTGTCAGTTATCTTTTCTTAATTAGCAACTTGTCTTTTTCAGTGTCTTCCAAATTAATTTTTAAAATGGGGTGATGGCTTAAATTTAGTTATCTGAGATGGTCATTGGAACTGGGGGTGCCACTGATATCTGTAATAAAGGTAATTGCTATGTTTTATGTATTTCAAGAATGTTAGCTGAAAAGTTTTTATGTAAAAAAAAAAAAATACTTGGAAATTTTGTCTGTTATCGCATATTCTGTATTAATTTGTTGAAATCGTAAATGTAATTTTAATTATTAAGATTAACATTTTAAGCTTTAAAGCTGGTGAAGTTATGTCGTTATTTTTTCTACTTCTATAAACAAATCTATAAACCTTTTTTATTTTATGAAAATTTATATTCAAAAAAGAGAGAATGACGTGCAGGCAAGATTGATTTAAAATTGTTTGACTGGTTTTATTTATTTACTTGTGTAATTTTTATTGATTCGTGTTTAATTTTGAATAATGTTATTATTTAAAGATTGGTCCTAAATATCTTCTGAAAAAAGATTTTGAGGTTGATCTTTACATTATGGTAACTTGGCGTTTTTTTGGCGACCAACTCTCCTACAGCAACCCTCTATTTTTTTTTCCCGCTGCCATTTTGTCTTCACGAAGTAAAGACATGTTTCTTTTCTTTTTATCTACTGAACACTTCTTCCAACAATCTACTAGCCAAATTACACTTATGCTAGAAATTTTATCTAACAAAACTGCTTAATCATGACAAATATTCACTGCAAAATTGGGAAAAAGTGCACAATACCATACTCCTTACGCGTTTTTCAAAATAACACATACACATAAACCATGTACACGCCGACTTATTTTTACTTAAAAAAACATCCCAGAATTGCACAAAAATGGCATTGCGCACACTCTTCACTATATCCATGTACACTGCTTTTTTCTCATAAATTAGAAAAATTTCACGAAAATACATGACAATTTTCTCAATCTTTAAACCCGGTAAAAAGAACATATATGAAATTACCTGATCGCGAAAAAGTATTTACCCTTTCCAAATATGAACATTTCCACATATAAAATAAATAAAATATCCAAAAACTTTTACCTCTAAATCATCTATTACATTATATACGTCACCAACGAATTCATACCGCAAGCGTTACAAATACTTAGTATCAAATATTTAAATTATTTCCATGCACGTTTACTTCAACTTAAACGTATACCAAATTCCTACAAACATAAAATTCACAAAATAACTATCATTTAATTAAAATATCACTAAACCATGTACACGCCGACTTATTTTTACTTAAAAAAACATCCCAGAATTTCACAAAAATGGCATTGCGCACACTCTTCACTATATCCTTGTACACTGCTTTTTTCTCATAAATTAGAAAAATTTCACGAAAATACATGACAATTTTCTCAATCTTTAAACCCGGTAAAAAGAACATATACATAAATACCCATTTCGAATTCACTTTGGTTACGGCCATGGGATCCAAAAATTCACGAACACTGTTTCACACAACACAGAATAAAGCCAAATACAAAATTTCCAGATTTTTTCCCGATTTCCCCCCCCCCTTTTCCGATTAAAGAACCGTAATTCGTCCATTAATATCACATGACATATCCAATGATCTCTCATTTCCCTCACACACGAAATAATGCGTAATCGGAACTGAGTACTGCTCACATTATTACCAAAGTGCCAGGTAGTAACCTTTATCGCCTCCAAAATGTCGCCAAACTACCAGTTACCATATTGTAAAGATCAACCGGTTTTGACTTTTATTTTATTTAGTTTCAATAGTTGCGCATTTATTTTAGTGTTGTTGTTAGTAATTTATGAAATTGAGCTTTCACATTTCTTTATAATCTGTGATAGGATATGCATTAATTTTGTTACAGGTTATGTATTTGAATATAAAGGGGTTCAGTTTCATTGCTTTTTTAATAATTTAGAGAATAATATATCAATACAAAAAATTCCAACTTTTGTTAACTTTTAAAATTTTGGTGATTGAAAAATGTACTGTATATTTGCATATCTTTTTTGATAGAACACTATGTTTAATTCTCAAAAGTTATTACCAGTAAAGTTTAGAGTATGTTTAAGAATTTAAGAATACTTATTTTTTTAGTTCTAGATAATAGTGATATTTATCCCTTATTAGTTATCACATGCAAATAGGTGTTATGAATTAAATATAATCTGGTTGTAAGTTAGTTCTAAAATAAGTGCCTTAAAACTATTAACATTTTCAAATATTTATTTCCACATAATTTTGATGATCTCAAAATAAATACTTTTCAATTATCGATTATAAAAATGCTTTAATTAAATGTATTACATAATTATATAAAACTCTACAGCAAAAACTTAATTTCTTTTTGAAGTAATGTATAAACTAAATGCTTATTGCATTTAAAATTCAGTAGTATACTCTTATTTATTAATTTATAGGCTAAAGTACTTCTGAAACTTTTTTTGCAATATCTATACATAATCTGTTAGTGACTTGATAAAAAATTAAGATACTAAAATGGCATTATTATTATTATTTAAATATGTGAAACCTTGTGAATTTTTATCATTAAAATTCTGTATGTGTATTTAATCTTGTCAGAAAACTGGTATTATTTTCATTGAAAAGCATGATTAGGAATTAGTATATTTGTTTTTGTAAGACTGAAATAAAGATCATAATGACATCTTAATGCCTATTCAGACTGGGGTTTATGTGATTTAAAGGAGACAACTGACTTAAAGGACCGATTTCCAAAAGTAGTTTTTTCCCATAGCATAGCGAGTTGAAATTAACTGCATGCATAGCGTAGCGAGTCAACACATGAAACCTGTTCTCTTAGCTCAGATAAACCCCAGTCTGACAGCCCTTAAAAGTACTCTGAAAATTCATAATACAGAATGCAATCAATTCTTTGTTGTGTAAGCCTCTCAGTTTTCTTTAAAAATTAATTTTGAGATTTTAAATTTATATTATGATTGATTTTAATTGGGTTAATCTAGCTTTTATTTTAGCAAGTTTTTTTAGTTGCAGTAAGACTATAAAATAACTTTTACTTATGAATATGACTCTCAAATGTGAATAACAATTCCTATTTAGTTTAATAATAATTCCTGTTTATATTAATATTTTCATAATTGATGAATTATAGAATTATTTATATTTTACCAGTATGCGTATTACTTTAGAAGCTAAACTTTAATATGATCTGTATAAGCTAAGAGTCTCCTAGTCTATAAACTCACCAGCTATAATCACATTTTGAATATGAGTACTTTATTGCTTATTTTTGGTATGATTAGACAAACTGTTATTTCATTATCGTGTTCTTTATTACATAAGTGTACTAAGATGAAATAAAAAATGCATCTAACTGTTAAAAAAACTTTGAATTGATAAAATATTACATTTAGTTTGGTCTTATCTAAGTTGTTATATTTGACTTTCTTTTAGATATTCAAAGACTTTTGGTATCATTGGATCAGATTTGCCAGAAGGTTGATAGCAGGCAGGCTGATGTTATATTTTTGAGAGAATTACTTCAAAACCATTCTCTTCAAGCACTAGTTCTTGTGAGTTCATGAAGAACTTATATTTAAATTATCTTTGAATTAAAATCATAGTTTTTATGAAAAACCAATTTAAACTATTTGAATAAATGCATTTTTATTGTGAATAAGTTATTGAAACAAAAAGGGAAAAAATGCATTTTATATACTCTAATAGTAGTATGAAGTCAGTAATAGTTATGAATGTAATTTACAGCACTTTATGATTTTAAAAGGTTCTTGTTTAATTAATTTCCTAATTATTTCTAAGATAATGTTCTGCTTATATATTTTTTAAGATAATTATCTATATCTATTCTATATATGGAAATAAGTTATTGACAAATAGAAATATGGTAAATATTTGCCTTAATTGTATTTTGGGTACATTTCTGTTATACACTTGCCACACATTTTGATGTTTTTTTTTTTTTTTTTTTTTTTTTTTTTTTTTTTTTTTTTTAAGTGTAAACACAAAATTAAATGTACTAAATTAAGTACACACATACACAAATGGTTTGGCCCACAGACAGTGTTATAATTGGGATAATTGGGTCTCATGTGTTTGACTTTTCTTTCAGGAACTTGAAAAAGCATGCCAGGTACATAACAGGAAAATATCCCACTTTGTTTCTGATGTTGCTGCTTCATTGCAAATATAATAATATTTAAATATTTCTAATAATTTGACATTATTATTTTTATTTTTAAGATAGTGTTATTAAACATCTGTAATTAAGAAGATACAAACATCTGTTATGAGGAACTTAAACTGTTCAGCATTGAGAAAATTCTTGAATTGTGGGTAAATGTGAATTCATATGAAAGCATGAAATACTTTAATTTAACTTAAAAGGGGGGAAAAAATCCTGTAATTTTACTTAATTGAAGTCCAGATCTTAATTTGTGTATCAAAATTTTAATCAAATAACTTTTTTTCACCTGCGTTAAAAGTGGCAGCATAAGATTTTACTTGAAAAAATGACTAATTTTAGAAAATTTTGAGTTATTATTTTGTAATCAATTAAATTTTAATTAGTGAGGCTTAAGGTCTAAAATATAGGTATGTATTATATCTGTAATGGTATAGGTTCCTACTTTTGAATTATTCTGAATTGGATTTGTAATTATCAATCTCTTAAATGTAACAGAAAGTAAATCTAATTCTGTCGAAATGGATATTACTGCTTGGACATAGAGTTAAAAATATATAAAATATATCTTGGATACAGTTAAAATTTGAGAAAGAAGGTAAGAGAATCTGTTTTAATATTAATTAATTATATGGGAATATTTTAATTGTATAGAATGTTACACGAATGTGGAAATTTCAAGTTTAATTCACTAGCACATGCTCTGGGTCCAGTGGACCCGCTCAATTAAACAAACCTTTGTTAAATCATGCCTATTTCACCCACGTTGTTGAGATCCAGGGTAGTCACATCCAAAGTCACCCTCTACCCTCTTTATATTTCTGAAGCTTTACTGGGGCTTTCATCCCAAGTTTTGTTTTTGATCATATTGGGTTTTTTAGACCTAGTGCACTTATTTTTATTGGTATTACATAGCTGATTTGTGATAATATAAAAAGTGGCAAACATGTTGCATAATTTACCGTGCAAGGAAGAAATGCTGCAAAAGTTATTAGAAGGTGTATTAACTGGTGAAGAATTTATTGAAGAAAATGAGAATGGAAGTAATCACAAATTTTTAGTTCATATGGTATTGATTCAGAAACTGCTATAAATTCTGAAAACAAAAATGAGAAAAACATATATTGCTTTGTTGGGAAAATAAAAATATCAAACATTAAAAGAACAAATAATGCAGTGTTTGCTCTGTGAAAAAACACTGCAAAATGAAAATGTTTTGTCAAGGTTAAAAATATTTATGTTTGGAACACACAACAACACTTTGTTCAGAGTGCTGCTAATCTTTGTAATTGTGTTTTTTGTCTGTGCCTATAGTACAAATAAAGAAAATGGTACATCTCTAATATACGCCCTAATTTCACCAAATGTGGCGATATGTGTCTGCGCTGGTTTTTGGGGCGATTGCGTGTTCTATGGCAACCCTGTTGACGTTGAAAAATCTTTCTCTGGAGCTCGTTGGTTCGCCTCTGTGTCTGAGAAGATGGGAGGGAAAGATAAAATGGTAGTTGTTGAATTGAAGTTCGGCAAAAGGAAATATGATTGTGGCTATCCTGTTGAGAGGTAGTGGGTATTTGGAAGTGTGGAAAGAGGGTCTGGGAGATTATTTTTAATGGCAGTGCATGATAGAAGTAGGGATTTGTGATTTTATTTATTTGTGAACCATAGTATAAATTTTCTGGATAGTGTGTCTGGCTGTCATGTAAATACAATAGTGATTATGTGGCGGCATGTTAAAGGCAGTATAAAATTTATAGTTCTGCTATTCGAAAACGCATTAATTCATGGTAAGTGCATTTTATTTTATCCTTGTTCTTATTTTGTAGAATGCTATGTTCATTGGTTCTTTAGTATGAATTTCTGTCGTTATTGTTGTTTTTTTTTTTAAAATTGTTTGAAATTTATTTTAGTTTATTTTGTTGTTTAGTGTCTAGACTGTACAATTCGTAGATGTTTTTTAAAGTTGAAACAGAACGCTGTGTACATGGTGTTATTTGAAGTTTGTTGTTGTTATGTTATTTTATTAAAGCAAGGAGTGCGTAGTTTGTAGATTCGTTCGTTGCCTACATTGTGCAATTCGTAGATTTTTTTAAGTTAAAACATGTCGCTGTGTACATGGATTCTTGTCAAATATTTTTGGTTAGAAACTTTACGTTTTTGCTATCTAAATTTTTTGTTTTTGTTTCGGATTTTTAGCTAAATTGTGTGTTCAAAACGTAGTTTTTGCATGTGCGAAAACCGCATTTTTGGAGACATTTTAGGCTAAAAGTTCAAAATGTAGACAAAAAATTTAGATAGTAATATGGCATCGTGAAGTTTCTCGCCAAAAATATTTGGCGACTTGAGGGCGCATATCAGAGTAGTTCCAGAAAATAAGAATTGATACAGAGTAAAGGTACACTATCCCCCCCTATGCTAATAAATATGTTTTTCTATTCCATTAAGAAATTTTATTTCATAAAATTATTTGGTGAAATTAAAAATTTTAATTTGCATACTTTTTAAGTTTGATCATAAAATTTATTATTGGTATAAATGAAACACCTTTTACCTGAAAATTTACGGTTTTTTCTTCAAAAACATGAGCCTGGTCTTTTGGACCAGTGCATGCAAATGTTTAACTCAAATGAGGGCACATGCTTCCAGGTTAATAATTAGATAAATTCATTGCATTAAATGCTTCTGTTTTCTGCCAATGTGGCTAATTTATATTTGTATTCATGTTTATGTATTTTGTAAGACATCAGAAAGAATTATTCATTAAAAATAATAAATTACACCTTAATTGCATTAAAAACTGTGGTTATTTAGGAATTAGAGATCTATTGCTAGAGCAAACTGTTGTTATTAGTCAATTAAGGATAAGATTTGTATAAACGTTTAAACGTGTTTTTATATATAAGTAAATCCTAGGTCTTTATCAAAAATTTATTTAAATCCTAGATCTTTAATCAAAGCCCATAACCCTTAGGCATCTGTGTACATTTGCTAAATGTTAGCACATAGTAAGGGTCAATATTTAACCTAACTTTTAAATGTTTTAAAAGTGACCCGAAAAAAGATTGAAAAGTTTGTAAAAAAAGATTGAAAGAACTTTTTTTTTAACAGTTTTAGCATTATGAGTAAAATTGTTTGAAAGTATAAAATTTAACTGTTTGTGTGGTCTTTGTAGAGATGACTATTGAGTTAGAAAAATGTTTATTATGCATTTAGAGATATATTCTGTACTTTTACACGTTGTGAGATGTGAACAATTAATCATTTCTTCAGGCCATTTACAAACTTAATAGCAAGTGTTCTTTTACCAAATAAGATTTTTATTAATCAGTATTTGTCTAGTAATTGCTCTCAGAGGTTTAGGGAAAACTTAAAGTATTTGACTTCAGTTAAAAAATTTAGTGTTGACATTGAAGGTTTTGCCTTTAGCTTATTAAAAAGCATGATGAATATTTTCCAAATTAGTCATTTTACTCTGTGGAAACGATTTAAAAAGCTAAGTTTTATATTTTCAGAACTTTTTAGCCCTAGTGATGAAACTGTCCTTCTGAAATTCTTTATCTTATTTAAAAAAACATTGAGTTAGAAGTGGATATTTAGGATTGATAGTTATGTACATTAGCTTGAGTTATCTTCTGATGTTCTTCACTATGACTTCTAATCTTTTTCACTAGATGAAAATGCATGTTTTCCTAAATGAATGTAGAAGAATTGATATATAATTATAACTTTTGGTACTCGCATATTTGAAATTAACAGAAATCATGCTGAAATTACACCAGCCATTTCTGTGGAACTCTGAGCCACACTTCTATCTGTTTTGTTCGTCATATCCATCTTTTCTTTTTTCCATACACCAGATAATAATTCTGTTGACCAGTTTTAAGATTGCTGAATACTAAGAGTTCAGTTTGGGTCCGATTCCAAGCAGGGTCAGTGTTGTGCATTTTGCCACCCAATGTAATCTCTGCACGTGCTAAATTCCCTAAATTCTAAAAATTCTGCTGCCCAGTTCAAATTTTAATTGTAAAAATATTACCATTCTTTAATTTTGCTACTCATTGCTTTTCCAAATTCTAAAATGTTTGCCGCCTGTCTCCCTATTACAGCAGCATTGGGGGACCATTTATGGTACTGGGGCGGGGACCTTGATTTCAAGTATAGGCTGACTGCTTAATTAGTTTTCATGGTATTTCTTATGTGAGATGTGACTATGAGCCAGTTTCTCTTAGAAAATACTTCACAAAGGCATGGCAGGGAGTCTTCGAGAGCTTTGCCATATCCAGTTAGCCAAACCTAATCTCTCAACCAGCTGTAAATGAGCCAGTCACAAATTCGATTCTACAGCTCTTAAACTCATTTTTTCCTTCCCCAAAATGCAAAGAAAAAATACAACAATAATTACAGTTAATTTATAGATTTGATCATAAAAACAAAGAGGTACTGTTCTGTTATCAGGACCAGATTCAGAAATATATGAATGTATGCATGTATTTGTATGTGTATACATAAATACATATATCCATCCATACATGCTTACATACTTTTCTGAATCCAGTCCTGATATCAGAACAGTACCAACAAAAGCTGGCTTATAAAAAAATCAATTGGTATTACCTTAAATTGAAAGTACTGATATTATGAGTATGTTGTGACATTATGCTTGCCCATAATTGGTGCATTATAATTGATGCTTATGTCGGGATTTAACTTTTTAGTTAAACTGTTTTACATTGCATTTTAACAGTTGAATCAGTATATATTTTAGGAGTCAAGTAAGATTAGTAATGAAGTTTTGATTCTGAATTTTTAAGATAGGTTCTATTTATGTTTTATGTTTAAAGAACTTAATTCTTAAGTACTTTTGGATTATTTGCTTTCTTGGTTTCAACGTTTGCTAGAATTAGTATGCACAATATAACAGCCAACCTGTATAGATGTGTATCACATATATATTTGAGTGCACATAGATTTATATGGTTTATATTTAAACATAATTTAACTGAACAGTATCCACTGGCTGTAAAAATAAAATAATTGGTCATATTTGTCCCCACTTTTTTTGCTGTATAATTTTTTTGTTTCTTGTAATTTTTTTTTTTTTTTTTAAGTATTATTTATGAGCAGTGCGTATTTTATAGGTACACAATCGGGTTTCCACTTATAATGGACGGCAGGTATTACCAGTAGCTTACCAAAGTGCTAGTCTTTCTGAAGAGGTAAATATTTTTTGTACTTGCATATTAATGTAACCACTAAACAAGAAATGGCCAAATTTCCAGAATACTCTAAACTGTAGCAGCCACATGCAGAACAATTCTCAAAGTTTTAATAAGCATCAATATTTTTATATTTATTATATATTGCTTCCTTTTTTGACAAGCAACTGTTCAAGAGGCTTTCAAATACAGTCAAGTCTCCTACTAACTTACAAGCACAGAACGACTGAACCAATCACCCAAATTCACTCTCCATAGATGATAGGGGAACCATATCTAGGTATACCAAGTACCACAATAGAATTCTGCCCCTTAAAGGCTCTCAAAGGATCCACTCCACTGAAACTGGGAAAGCGGAACTTTTAGCTCAAGTTCTGGAAACTCAGTTTTGCACCAGCAACATACATGACACTACAACAGAAAATCTCATTAGTAACTTTCACTCCACTTTCACAACAACACCATGCACTCACAATATCAATCCAGTTCTACCTTCCAAAGTCTCTGGCTCCATCCATAAGCTTAAAAAGAAGAGCCCTGGCCTTGACAAGATCACTAATGAAATGATTAAGAAGTTCCCATTGAAAATTACCTTCCTGTCTACTAAAATCTACAACATCCTACTCAAATATCAGCACTACCCAAAATCGTGGAAGACTCAAAAGTGGTTCCGAAGCAAGGCAAACCTCCATCTCAGCCAGACTCATATAGACCTATAAAGTTTACTATCATCCCTGAGTAAAGTTATAAAAGCGATCCTGCTGAAATGCATTAACGACTACCTGGATGACAATAATATCATCATTCCACATCAGTTTGGCTTCCGAAAACAACCGGGGACAACGAATCAACTATATAGAGTTGTGGAAACAATCTCAGAAAAAACAGCTAATGGATTAATCACAGGTGAAATCTTTATTGACGTAGCCAAAGCTTTCAGCAGAGTATGGCTGGATGCCCTCGTTTCCAAATTACACTGTCTGGGCTTTCCAGACTATATCATTAACATCACCAATTTGTACCTAACCGGTAGATACTTCATCATTCACGTTGCTGCCACAAATTTCACACGCCATCCCATCACGGCCAGTGTCCCACGAGGGTCCTTTTTAGGACCCACATACTTCATTATATATGTGAATGATATCCTTACAACACTGGACACAACACTAGCTATGTATGCAGACGACACAACGATTCTCACACAAAGTGCATTTGCTGATTCAGTCATTCAATAATTGCAAAACTACATTGATATATTAGAGATTTGGCTCATTAAATGGTAAATCCAGGTCAATGTCAGCAAGACCCAGGCAATTCTATTCACCAATTAGTAGAAGTTTAAGAAGAACCTGATCTTTTAGGCACTTTAGTACCCTGGGCCAAGCAAGTTCTTTATCTTGGGGTGATCCTCAGTAAGACACTTTCATGGACCCCAAACATTACAGCTATTTTACAGAAGTTTCAAGCTCATAAAGTTACTCTTCCCTCGGAAAGACTCTTACACCTAAGTGCTTGAAACAGTGTTCTATCTGTAGGTAACAAGTTATCCATTTATAAATTCATTCTGCATCCATTACTCTGTTATGCATGCCCTGTATGGGCTTATTCAAGCAAAAATATTGTAAAGCAGCTTCAAACCACCCAAAATTGTATGCTCCGACAGATTACCAACTCGCAGTAGTATATCAGAAATCAAAGAATTCATGAAGAACTAGAACCCACTACTATTGAATTGCCAAAAGATTTCATAAGAAACAAAAAAACTCTAGATAATTCTGCCATCAAAATTGCTATGTATGACCCTAATGGTCTTGCTAACATTAACAGGCCATTAGCAGTGCTAAATTCCCGGATTATGAAACCCCCTGAGTAATCTGTTCTTTCTAATGCATATATCTGTATGTTATTCCAATGTTTATTACCATGATGCATCTTGTATTTACATTTCTAATTAATAATAATCTCAATATTTGTTTATAAATGTTTTGTACTGTAGTATATTTCTCTCTCTGCTTTGCTCCCCTACTAATGGATTTGAGGAACCATCATATTCACACTTACCTTATTTTACTAAGTTACTCATTGTGCTACTAACTTATAAATGTTCTGTACTGTAGTATATTTCTCTCTGCTTTGCTCCCCTACTAATGGATTTGAGGTACCATCATATTCACACTTACTAATTTACTCATTTTGTGCTACTAACTTATTTATTACAGGCCACGTCGCCAGATCAACAGCCTTGTGTCTCAGATTCGTATAACATGAATAATTTTTTGGCTTATTATAAACTTTCCAAATCAACTGTTTACCAAAAAAAAAAAAAAAAAAAAAAAAAAAAAAGAAAGAAAGAAAGAAAAAAATAAATAAAATATAAAAAAGAATGTTATGTTAATATCTGCTTATAAAGTTACTTTGTGAAAATCTGTTTGTTATGGCCTCAAAATATTCTACATTGGGTAGGGCTTTTAGTCCAGCTACCTGGGTGCTCAGACACCTTTCCACTGGAGGTTTAAGTCTTATCCAAGTCCCAAACAAAAAAGTTCCCACTTATACTCAAAGCTTATCGAGGGCCAGCACTAAACATTTTGTGGCCTGGTACAGGCTCTGCAAGTCTTAAACTCTGCTGTCAGGCACCCCTCTAAATTCTAAAAATCTCATTGCCCCTAAATTTTATCTCGGAGCCTTCCTTTAGGTCCAAGATTTTGCTATTCCATAATTTTGTTACTTGGCGCTTCTCTAAATTCTAAAAATTTTGCCTCCCCTAAATTCTACCACCTGGTGTGGCTACACCAGTTCTGGCACTACCTGATCTTAACTAAATTACAAATCTGTTATTCTCAATTCAAACAGCACTAAATGTAGCCTTTTGGCGTATGAGTATCAAGTACAAAATTTGTATATGGATAGAAATGTTTGTTAAATTTCTCCTCACTCTCAACACTTGGCTGCACAAATAATTGAAAGTCTGTAATTATTGCTAAGTATAATGTCAACATAAAAGGTAGCCATGCTCTTTTTCATTCAGTCATACTAATATTTAAAAAATATATATATATATATATATATATATATATTTAGGCATTGCTGTGTTTGTGTTTTCTCAAGGTACAGTGTGTTGATATTCATGTGGTGATGAAAGCATAATGTAATAAATTGTGATTAGCCAGGTTTGCATCTGTGCGGAGGTGAAATTAAGAACTGGCACTCTTCACTTTAATAAATATAAAATGTGCGAGCATGGGAAAAAAAAAAAATAGCTTACTAGTAATTTGGTGTCTAGGATTATGGATCATTCTAAATATTGGGCATGCAGATATTGGACTGTGTATTTTATATATGTATGTACACCGAAGAGCCATTACATTATGACCATTCTCCATCTATAACAATGGGCTCACCTAGGAACAAAACCACTGCACGTGCACGGCTGATGTTGGAGCATATAAAGCAGTTATGCATTGTCTTAGCACAATTAGCAACATAATGGGCAAAGCAGTTGATTTATCAGACTTTGATAAAGGTCAAATCGTTATGGCTGTGTGACAGGGAACATTAATATCACAAATGGCACGTTTAGTGGGCTGTTCAGATGCAATTGTTGTAAGCACATATTGAAAGTGGTGTATCTAATCTGGCCTTTATCATGCAAGTTATAGTAAAATGATAATGTTTTCATCATGATTTTGCATAATTGTACCAACAGTTCACAGATACTAGTAGTAACATTTGATATGAATATAATCATCGCATTGCTTGACAGAAGTTGTGTTAACCTTTAATGATTTTATTTTTACTTTCTACTGTATAACATTCTGATAGCTAAAATATTGGGTACTTATGTTACTTATTGCTCCCAACTTTGTAGATATCACCAAATTTTGGCAACCATGCACATAATAGTTCTTTAGGTCAGTGGTGCGCAAACTAGGGGTCGCCAGAAGTTATTTGGGGTCCACCAAATTTTTATGAAATGCATTATGCCTTCATGCTGCATACCATACAGTGTACATATAAAGAGTGAAGCGACATCACTCACTGTTTAATTGCAGTTTCATGCTGTCCACCCTTTCTTTGATCGTAATGCGTAATGTATGTAAAGTGTGAAGACGCAAGTTTTTCACTCCGGTAGATAGCACCCTCTTCACGGTAATTCGCCAGTTTTACTGAAAAGCGCCTATTTGACTAGACGTTAACCGCAGGGAAAGGGAAAAAATTCGCTTCCGTGATCAGCCAATCAAATGGCGAGGTACGCGGTGTATCTGATAGTCAGAGTGAAGACGTGAAGTGTTCGCATGAAGTTGTAGCATGGTGCAGTTGGCCTGCAATTGTTTTAGTTTATCCTCGAGTTTTATCATGTGACGTTGTGTAATTATGATTTTTTATATTTTTATCGGGCTTTGCTACTCTTTTTTTATCAGGTATGTACTATCATTAGAGAAGGATCTCTGTTAATTTTATTGAATTTCTCGGAAAAAAAAATGATAAAATTTTATATATTATTTGTTTTAGTTTAAATAATTTAACCCCTATCTTCATAATGGATAAATGGGTAATACGTACACCAGGTACATCTTCAGCTAACAAACGAACAAATACTGAACTAAATGCCCGATCTAAAAAAATAAGAAAATTCAATGAGGAATTTATTAAGTATGGTTTTACATTTTGTGTTGTTGATGATGAAGAACGCCCGATATGTGTCATTTGCAACGAAAAATTAGCAAATGAGAGCAGGAAACCAGCTAAATTAAAAAGGCACCTGGAAACTAAACATAAAGAACTTCAAAATAAACATGCCGATTTTTTTTCAAAGACGAGCTGAAAATCCGAAAATTCAAAGTGCACATTTAAAGAAATTTACAACAATACCTCAGAAAGCATTATGAGTTTCTTTAGAAATTTCTTATCTAATGGGAAAAACAACGAAACCCCATACAATTGGAGAATCTCTTATCCTTCCTGCAGCAACTAAGATAACATCAATTATGCATGGCGATAAATATGGAAATGAACTAAAAATAATACCATTATCAAGAGGTACCGTGTCTCGGCGGATTTCCGAAATGTCACGAAATATCGACTCAGAAGTCATAAAACTCATACAAAATTCATCTGTATTTGCTTTACAACTGGACGAGACTACCAATATTTCTAAAATGTCACAACTAATTACTTACGTTAGGTTTATTTTTAATGAAGATATAACAGAAACATTTTTATGTTGCAAAAGTTTGGAAGGAGAAACAACTGGAGAAAAATATTCGAAGTAATAAATGAATATTTTGAAACAAAGTCCCTTACCTGGGCAAACTGTGTTGCGGTTTGTACTGTGGTGCTGCAGCATTAACACGTTTGAATAAAGGGCTCAGAGGCTTAATTCAGAACGTGGTGCCTCATATGGTATTTAATCACTGTATGATTCATTGGAAAGCTCTTGTTGCAAAAGATATGATGAAGAGTTGCACAACATTTACAAGACGCTGTTAGTTCAATTAACTACATTAAATGCAACAGTTGTCTCTTTTCAATACTTTGCAATCAGATGGCTCAACGTATGAGAGATTATTGTTACACACCGAAGTCAGATGGCTTTCACGATGGGAAAATACTACGACGGATATTTGATTTGAGAAATGAAGTGTACATGTTTTTAATCAAAAAGAAACATAGATTGGCAAGTTATTATATCAATGAAGTTTGGCTAGGGAAGCTGAGCTATTTAGTTGATATTTTCGAAAAACTTAACGACTTAAATTTGAGCTTGCAGGGTGAGAATTCAACTATCATAACTTCAGCCAGTAAAATTCAAGCTTTTAAGAATAAGCTTAGTCTCTGGCAAACTGAACTGAATAAAAAACAACATCGACATGTTCCCTTGCTTTAACGATTTTATCAAGGAAAATAATATAGATATATTTACATTTAAAAACATCATTTCCAATCACATTGAAAAGTTAAAGGAAAATTTTTCGAGGATTTTCCTGAAAACGATCTTGGTTGGATTCGTGATCCATTTTCCTTTAACATATGCAGTTCAACTCTTTAAATTAGTGAGAAAGAGCAATTGATAGATCTAATTAGTGATTATACTCTTCAAAATCAGTTTAAGACTCAGCCTTGCCAAAAACTTTGGCTATCCGTGAAAAAACAATATCCCGTTTCATGCAAGAATGCCATCAGAATGTTAATACAATTTGCATCAACGTATTTATGTGAAACTGGATTTAGCAAACTAGTTTCAATAAAAACTAAATACCGCTCGCGTTTAAACCCTGAAGATGATATGCGAATCGCAATTAGCAACATACATCCAAACATGGATGAGATAATTAGAATCTTGCAGCCACGTACATCTCATTAAAAGGCAATTTACTGATTTTTGTGTTATACAAAAAGTATTTTCTTAAAATTATAAATAAAATTAATATGAGTCAGATATGATGATGTTTTTATTCGATGAAACGAAAGAAATGCGCGAAATATACATCATATTTGTGAACATTTATCTCTAGGGGGTGCCAAAAATTTTCTCTCTACAAAAGGGGTCGCAGTCGAAAAAAGTTTGCTCACCACTGCTTTAGGTAATCATATCCATTCTTAGTTACAATCCGAAAATTCATCCAATCACCTTTTTTCTTCTGTAAAAACCACCAAACAGCACCTAGGTGCCTGCACAAATACGTAAGTATTGTATATTGTTGTGCTGTGATATATTTTCAAAGTTCAATATTTTTATACAGCAGATCTTTTCACCAGTATATAACTCTTAAAATATTAAAGTTTTATGTAATTTTTCTTTTTTTTTTTTTTTTTTTTTTTTTTTTTTTTTTTTTTTTTTTTTTTTTTTTTTTTTTTTTTTTTTTTTTTTTTTTTTTTACTGATCTTCCTGATATCTGATTTAGCTAAATTTATATTTTAGTTAATGAGAAAGCAATAATAAATAATAGTATCTTTGGAAACAGTGTTATATAAATATCAGTATTCTCTTGAAAGCAGAACTCAAAAAAACAATTTGTGAGATACTTTGTTTATATATTTTTATTTTATGAATGTTAGTATTTATACCATTTTGTCGTTGAGCTGTTTTGTTTTGAAAGTCAAGTAATATTTCAATTGTTTATTTTATTTCTAGGTCGTGAGACTACTTCAAGATTATCCATCTGATGAAGCCCAAGAGTTAGTTTATCTGCTGCAACAGCCTTTCATAAAGGTAAATGTGGGAAATAATGAGTATGTATTTTTCACACGTTTTGGGGTCAAAAGCATACATTGTTGCCTCCTCCTCCCATTTCTTGCAGTTATTTTTATTGATTTCCTTGGTCTCTGCATCTGAATGCTTGACTCATCTTTTGCATGTTTTTGCAATATTAAAAAAATAAAAGTAACAAACTTATTTACTTCTACAACACTTATTAAGGTACCTGTGTCCTGTAGTGGCCTTGGCAAGAATGATTTGACACATTTTAGCAATGGCAATAAGTGGTTACGAATTTGCATGAATTTGAGAAACAAATATAATGCGCTCTGTCAGTGTAGTGGTTTTTCATTGCAAAATACTCATTATCCTTGTTATTTTTGAATGAAATCATAAATTTTAAAGTATTTATTATAGTGCACAATTTTGTTTGCAGTTATTAAAAAAAAATAACACACATACTAAAAACAAACTCATTCTGGTGGTCACAGTTTAGTAATTGTTGTTAATTATGCTGCAAACACAATATCATGGCCAACCTAGTGCCCGAATATGAGTTCTGTTTAATAAGATTCCAGGTGATGAGGAGATGTACACTGTGCCAAAAAAAAAAAAAAAAAAAAAAAAAGAAAAGAAAAAAAAAAAAAAAAAAAAGACAGTACTATATCTCCCGTTCTACTGGGCAGGTTGACGAAATTCAAATTGCGTTTTTCATCTCTCGAAACCCGACTTAGGATATGTATTAGATTTATATATAAAGCATTGTTCTAATATGTATTTTGACACAAAATCGGACTTTTTCTGAAATAACATGCAATCTTTTCCCATATTTTGATTGGCGGCTACTACGACTCAAATTAAGCCAAACTACCAAGTTTTGTAAAATTCGCATGAATAGTTTTCGAAAAATTAGCTCTCAAAATTTTAGCTCCTCAGTGTTAATTGAGTTTGGTATATATTTATTAATCTTTCTTTTTTTTTCTTAAACTTATTTGATTATTTCTTTCACATTTCGAAATTCAGGTTCATTCAAAATAAAATTGACCCATTTTTGATGATTTATTTTTCAGAATTGTATTTTTAAATAATTATAATCTATAAAATTTTTACAATCATCTTAACCTTCTAAAACCGGGCCGAAATTCTCATAATATAGCCTACAGACCGGCGCGATCCAAAACAGTTTTGCCACCTCTTTGACATTTTCCTAATGAGAAAAGTCGTTAGTCCCCCTCCATGGATGAAGTAAAATTTACATGTTTGTCCGATAGTAGAGTCCGTAGTAGTCATACATGTCCCATAGTAGAGGGGTTGCTAGATTTGCAATTTTTTCGATGATTATTTTGCTTTCATTTAAACAAAGTTCTAAATAAATAGTGCATAAATAAATATGCAGTACTGGATGCATATCCAGTGCACAATTTATTTAGAGCAAAATGTATGCAATGTTTATATTTCACTCACTATTTCTAATCAATCTCGTAAATAATTTGTGAATTTTTTAACTTTGTTTTCACTCTTCATTTATATTCGCGTATTTTCGTATTAGAAATTAGAAAGCGAGAACAAAATTTAACAAAATATAGTAAATACGGACTAGATTTGTAAGTCTGCAGGCTGGAATGTGATTTTTAATAACATATTTATGCAGTTCTGCAGAACTGACAAACTTTTTGCAGATTATATTTATACTTAGACAGTTTAATTGTATTGGGGATTTTTTGAAGCTGAAAATTCAAAACAACATGCAGAGTACCATACCACAAAATGTTATCTTGTGATCTTACAGAAGAATGGTGGAGCTCAGTTAATAAAAATGATGACCATTTTTTGGCCATGCTGTGCAACATTCATAATGTATGCGGCTGAATGACTCGGAAAAATGCCCCTTTTGAGTACCATTCCTGCTTTTGTTTAGTAAATTAGAAGAAATTTAAATTTAATAGAATTAGAAACTTAGTTTATGTATTTAATTAATTAATGGAATCATTTTCTTTTATGTATTCCTAATTACTTGTGATTTATTTTCATATTTAAAAATAACGTTTTGGTGGTGTAATCTAAGAAATAACTGCATACTACTGATGTGCCCATTACATCCCGAATTTTCACTCCCTGTCTTGAATTTTTACAACTCTTTTTTTTTCTATCCCGAATTTATAGCATTTTTTCCAGATTGTCCCAAAAAACAATAATGTGCCAATGTAAAAATTTAAATGTGTATATATTCAATGTAAATTGACACCTGAGAAATAAAGTTAAGAGACATACGCCATACCAGCTGCATAGACAGGGGATTCTCCATCTAGCATTTACCTTTGAAAAATTGTTGTGGGAGAATTCTATTTCTCCTTCCTGTATTTCTCTCCCCAACCACTCAATGTACACAGAATTTTTGCTCACAGTTGCAGTTCAGAATTTTCCTTACATATAGCACGGATATTTTTAATTATATATTAATTTGATTGTGATTTGATTTTATAATAGATACATATATTTTTTAATTATCAATGGTGCATTACATACGTTAGTATGTATCATCCCCTTACACATTATTAAACGACATCTAAAAATAATTCTTTTGTCATTTGCTGAAATTTCATTATAGATGTATTTATCTAAAATCATCATTCTTTAGTCATGTTTAGATCATAAAATTTTTACTTTATCATCATTTTGATTTGGCATAAGGGTTACAAATATCTGCTGAAATGATGAACATTTCCTGTTTGGCAATGACATATATTTTTTATTTAGCAATGATGCATTACATACATACTAAGGGTATGTTTTAATGTAGTTTAATTTAATTTATTATTTATTTTTGCCACTGATTTTTTAATACTAGGTTCAGAAAAAAAAGTGTACATTTAATGTAGACCTACAGGAGGAATATCTGTATATTGAAAAAACTATAAGCAATTCCGATATATGGTGCAATACATGTTCTTGAAAATTTTCAATAAGCCATGGTGGATGTACAGATATTAAACTTCATATAAATAGTAATAAACATAAAACGTCAAATTCTGCTGGTGCATCTAGCTCGTCATTAAAGAGGTTCTTCAAAAAGTAGAAAATGGGTGATAAATAAGAAGCATTAGGTGCACTAGAAGGTACTTTTGATTATCGTAATATTTGCTACAACTGTAGCTTTAAGTCTATGGATAGTATGTCCAAGCTGTTTTAATTGATATTTGAACCTAAATTTACATGTGCGTGAACCAAGGCCGATGCAATGATACTAAATATTTTCATGCCTTACACTTTAAGAGCTTTGCTTTGCACAATGACTTGAGAAAATGCTCATATGTTTAAGTCTTAACTGATGCGTCCACTCCCAAGGAAATGAAACTTTTTTCAATACTTGCTAGATTTATACAATGGAGTTATGCAATCAGAGTAAAAGTTTTAGAATTTAATTCCTTACCTGGTGAAACATCTGATATTGTCAGCAATTATTTAACCACCTGTCTACAAGAAAATAATTTAAAAGAAAAAGTTACTTGTCATTGTGTCAGGACTTAGTGTTCTATGCGTACTTTTGGCAAACATAATGGTGACAGTATCAATGTCCTGAACTCGAACAGTGAGCTGAATGCAGCTATGTTCTTGTGAGTGCTAGAAGAATTACAACGTAAGAAGGGTGTAAAAGGCCCTTTTATTTAACTCACTATTTACAGCAACTCCCAGCTCGGGAGTGATAACAGAAAAATAATGACCACGCTTGGGTCTAAACTGAACAATCAAGCAATTTAAAACTTCAGTAGGCATTTAAATAGTGGCTGTCACAGAGCTTAAACGCGAGATTGCCCTAAGTATGGTGCGTAGCAAGCCTTTGCTAAGTACTAACGCACTTAAATCACTTCAATCAGTATTAGAGTAATAGCGCTAAGGCATAAGAATTTAAAATACTAACTATTCTGGCGAATGTGCACTGAGCGGACGTGGTCTGAGACTAAAAGCTCTCTCACTCTTGAGAAGTTCTCACTAACCTTTAAATACAAAACTTGGCTCCAACACAAATTAGCATAAAGCTGAACTGTGCGCTCATTCTGAAGGGAAGTTGAAATAAGTGTTTACAGGAAAGGGTAACTTAAAATAAAAAGAAATTTGGTTAGTTTAACTTAAAACCTTACAATTGTGCCGATAGTATGAATTCTAACTTTTAAGGAGCTGATAGACAATGAAAAAATAATGTTTTTGTTAAACTGAAACAAAACTGTAACCATAGTTTAATTGGAATCAGATGTCCATCACATATTATACATAATACTGTAAGAGCATCAGCTGATGTTTTGCCAATTCATATAGAAATGATTATTTTTGAGACATACTTTAAATCTCATAGTGTTAAACATTGAAAGCTTTATGCAACTTTGTAGAAATCTATTTTTCAGTTATACCAGAGGATTCACAAACAAGATAATTAACATTATTCCAAGCCATTGAAAGGGTACTTTAAATGTTTTTACCACAGAAAGCTTATTTTCAGTTTCAAGAGCTTATTTTTAAATTCTTTGAAAATCCAGTGGCATAATTTTGGCTACATTTTATTTACACTCAGGGTTCAATATTTCATAAAGTTATTACTAAAGTTGAAAATCAAACTGCATCAGTATTTGATGTAATTGCTTCAATGGATGCTCTGAAAGCTTCAGTATTGAGCAAGGTAGAGGATAACACAAAACTTTAAGAGGATGGAGATGTGTCTTAATATGAAGTTACTGAATTTCAAGAAGCTACCGTTTCATTTTATCAGACTGCTCTTACTTTTTTTTTGAGAAATGGACAAAAAAAGTATTTCCGGAGAGGGAAAAGCACAGCTGGATCATATTAAATGAAATTCCTTCATGGAGTCAAGTTGAAATAGCTTTTTTGTTAATTAATAAAAATAATACCAAATCATAAATTATTTGAAATGATGATATATGTTAGTATTATGTTTACTTTAAACAATATATCATGGAAGAAAAAATATTGGAATGGCCCAAAAATAAGATGTGCTTATTTCAGTTGTAGAGGGAAATAATTGCAAGAACCAGATTCCTTGTTCAAATGTTTTAAAATTGCTAGAGTTTTTCTTTTGTCTTCCTGGCACTAATGCTGCAACTAAAAAAGTATTTGACATTATGAATAGGTTTGGACTAGTGGATATTTGGAATATATGTATGCAGCTTAAAGTGGGCACTTGGAAGGGTATGTTAATTCCCAAAATAAATTTTGATGAAAATTGAGCAGACTTTTATAAAAGGATTAAAAAAGAAAAAGATGTTCTAAGAAATATTCATGCTTCAGAGAAATATAAGGCTACTTCATTAAAATAATTTATAAGGATTACAAATTTATTATTTTGCTTAAAAGTTGTGTTTTGATTTATTCTTTTTTTAATAAAAAATATTAACCACTACTAAAAAATAAAAATGATTTATTTTGATTTATATGTAGATTTTTATATGCAGGGTGTTTATAAAGTCTTTAAACATTTTTGCTTAAACAGGCTTTGTTCTGAAATATAAGTTTACATGAAAATGCAACATAATAGAACACTAAATTAGTACAATTTAATGTGGCCTCTCTGAGTGTCTAGACACAATTGCCACCATTCCACTACACTCTGGAACACCTTATGTAAAGTTATTGGTGTAATTTCAGCTGCTGCAGCCGTAATTGTTCAATGCTGCCAGTCTTCTCTCTATGACTTGAAAAAAACCCATAAAAAAAATTCTAGGGAAGTTAAGTCTGGTGATTGATTGATAGAGTCCAAAGCTATTGAGAGCCATGACCAATCAACCTATCAGGAAACGTTTTATTAAGATAATTACGCACAGTAATAGCAAGATTTGGAGGTGCCCCATCATGTTGGTAGACAACAGTGTCAATAATGCCATCTGATACTGCCTGTGGCTCAAGATATTTTTACAACATATTGAGATAAATTTCTCCGGTAATGATCCTTTTTTGCAAACATGAAAGATTCACAGAGCTTAGTTATTCCAATCCATACATTAGGTGTGGCTCCCTGAGATTCATGTAACACCTTTGGTTTTTCATTAGCCCTTATTCGGCTATTAACATGGCCGCTGAGATAGAATGTGCCTTCTTTGCTAAAGAGAACATTCTCCATTAAGTTCTCATTAACCAGAGCTTTCAACAAATCATAACACATGACTTGCTGAGTGCCATAGTCCTCGGCTGCAAGCTTATGCACAGTTTGAATGTCATCCTGGTAGAACGGTGCTTTGGTACACCAGTGTACCTGGGCCGAAGGCCCTAACCCTTGTAGAAAGATTAAAAGGTTCGAATAACTAGCCAGGTATCCTCTTAATAGGATGTAATTTTTTTTTATATTATTTTTAATATTTAGTAGTTATTAACTTATTTTAAGAGATAGCTAATAGCATTGGCTTGCATAAATTCTTCCAAGTATACAAATATGTAATTTATTTGTTTTTCTTATGTTTCTTTTTTTTCTTTAATTTCTTTTGTGTAGCTGTAAAGATCAGAAAGCTATTGAGCTGGTGACGGTATGCTGAAAAGCAAGTGGTTAAATACAAGCAAGTGCAAAGTATTATAAGTGTCCTTGATCAGAGGAGTAGTTTGAATGTGGTAGGCATCCTTGTTTAAATGATAGAGTAGAGTTTTCGAAACAGTAGTATGCGAAATACTGACTTCCCAGCTGAATGTTCATGTAGATGCCTAGGAGCTACACGTAATCGCTTTTTGTACACTTTGTTCAACTTATGGTGTTATCAAAGGTCTTCATCTTTAACACTAGTTAACTGAACTCCAGTTCATTTGAATTTTTGTACTAAGGTTTTAATACCTGCTCTGGTAGGGGCTTGTTTTCTGAATTTGCAAATGAAGTCATCCAGCACCTGTTGATAAGTATGGGAACAAATAATGTCTCTTCTTTCCTCTGTTGACAGCATTCTTTCAGATCACTTCCAAAGAAACTGGAATTAGAACATATTTCTCAAAAATATATAGAGACTTTATAAACTCTCTGTATATATATTGACTTACATACCACTTCCATCAAAGTAACAATTATAATAAAAAAAAAATTCAATTTAAAAAAAAATATTTAAAAAATTACATGTATAGCATCCCGAATTTCGAACTTCGAAATCTGGTCACCTTAATACTACATTAATACCAAGCCAATATATACCCTAGAAAGTTCGTCAGAAATACAATATTGTGACTAAACAAGTTTTCTGTTTTTCTTCTATTATTATAAATTTCTAATTTAGAGGAACTTAAAGAAATTTTTATTTATGTATTAATGCAGTGGTTATAAATTTAGATCCTCCTTCTCTCTTGACTTATTGACTGTTCTTTTTCATGGTACATTAGGCTTTGTTAGCAACCCATGATCAAGTAGCAAGGAAGGATTTTGATCCAGCTCTTCCTGAAATAATTCATGATGGGGATGATGAAGAAGAAACTGTAAAAATTGTTCAGCTTGTGAAGAGTAATGAACCTTTGGTATGTGTTATTATTATTAATATTACTGTATAATCATATGACAGAGGTACCTCTCTTATTCCTGTTATATAAAACTATAAAGCAATTTATATTTTCTGTATATATTAAAAAATGTATCAGTTTTGAATTTTAAATTTGGTTTTTAATAGAATATGATACAGTCAAAAGTCGTTAATTCGGACACCCATAATCCGGAATGATCTATAATCCAGACGCAAAGCTATAAAATCTCTGCGCATGCGTCACGTTTACGCATGCACAGAAAGTAAGACCTTTACGACTGTGAATATGCGTGTGCGCATGCGCAAAATCCGTTTACGCATGCGTGTTTAATATATACGGACGGTATAAGCTAAGCTAAAATTATCTAATTCAGTTAATGTTGCAGATTGCGTTGTTCCTTAATCTTCGAATTGGATCCGGCTTATTATTTTTTGCAGACTGTTAGAGCAATTTTATTAAAGTAAGCTTGAACTTTCGATTATGTCAAATAGAATTTCTGATATATATTTGCTAATATGTAAAAGATCTACAAAGTGAAAGTATGTTTTGAAGTCCATTAAACAAAAAGTGGAATTGCTGCAAAAAGTGGATATAGGCATATTATTTGTTTATCTAACCATTCCAAAATCTGTTTATCAATTTCACGCTGCTCTGCGGGGAGGGGGGGGAACGTCGTGGCATGCAATGAACTGGAAGTTGATCTGTCAGCACTATCCTTATCTTCAGAGCAGATGTTTTTATTTTATTTGGCTTATAATTCCTTACTAAATGTAGTATTTCATCTCGATGTACTTCGTCTTTGATATAATTTAAATCAAATTCCTCGTCATTATAATTCGCTTCCGATAGCGAAGAAAGTGACACAGAGGTTATTGGAAACGAAAAAATTTCGATTGACAAATTAGTCGGTATTCTCGACACAGCAGTTATAGGACTTGAACAGCGGAACTTTGTAACTGAACAAGAAATTATGTCTGTTTATAGAATTAAAGAGAAAGTATTATCACATAAAAAACAAAGCAACTTAAACAACTTACATTGAAAGAAATGTTTAATAAAGTAAAATAAATATTAAACTTTTTTTTTTTTTTTTTTTTTTTTTTTTGTGTGTGTGTGTGTGTGTGTGTGTGTGTGTGTAAATTTTGATACCCTTTAGATCATAATTGTTCTTTATTTCATAAATTACGGTTTCATATTTTTAATTTTATAATTTCTGAATGCCATCTTACCAGATTTAAATTGATGATCTATAATCCGGAATCACTGAAGTCCCGATAAGTACGGATTAACGACTTGTGACTGTATTGAAAACATATACAGTGGTACCTCGGTATATGCCATTCATCCCTTCCAGATGTTTAGACTTTTAAAGGGGCTATCAAATCTAGCGACTCATGTGGCTAGGCGGGACATTTCCGAGGAACAAGATTCTAATAACACTAGTTTAAATGGGAGGTTTCCGGAAATATTTCTTCTAGCTAGTCGAAACATGTCCCGTCTTTGCGAAACATTTTGAAACTTTCCCGAAAATGTTTTGTCTGGAGCTGTGTTCCACGTAGAAATCAACAATCAGATGAAAGTTCTGCTTCTGAAGAATCATGGTTAATTTTCAATATGGCGATGGCTCTCGTTGTGAAATCAGGAACGGTGGAAACAGAAGCCGATTTAATTGAAGAAATACAAATATGGAAAAAGTCATATATATATTGCTGTTTTGTTGTCATTTTAAATGTTTATATATTCATTAAATTTGTAATCATGTAAATTTCAGAGTAGACACTATTTTATGACATGATTGGTGATGATGTGCTGTTTCTGATGATTTGTTTACAAATTATTCATTGCCAAAAGTTCGCCGAATTTGTCGTATTTCGTGCTGATCATATGAAAAGAATGTTATTTCTATATAATAGAATTTTTTTTATTAAATTTAAAGTGAGTAATTTTTTTAAATATGTTTGTATATGTGTGACTTTACTTTTCTGCTAATTACTTTTAAATTGAAATTGCATAATCAGCGATTATGTATGTGTATTTATTAAAACATGGATTATGTAATAATGAGGATACACATTAAATTTGTATGCTATTATCTTCATGTTGTTAATAAAATGCTTTTTAGAGTATAAACACATTAAGAACTATATTTTTATTATAAATGTTACATATTAAAACATTGGAAGTTTATGGGTTTATTATTATTATGAATGATGAAAAACATTTGTGTATATATTAATTAATATGAATCTTATTCATTACATTAATACAATCAAATACCAAAAATCCGCCAACTCCTGAAATCTGCGTTTCCCCTCATAACCGGACTCATTTCCGGAACCTATAAACATTCAGTTTATAGGTTTCAGAAACCGCAACATCGAGTACGAAATATCGAAGAAAAAAATACTTACCGAATATTAATGAGTCAAAACAGAAATACCAAATTATTGATATAAAAATGTTTAAAAAAATAAGATAAGATGAATAAGTTTTTTTCCGCTCTAATCTACATCGAGGTAAAAAAGCAGATGATTCACTCTTTGTTCAAGTTCATAATTCACGTTGTATTTTCTGATCTTTGTTATTTCATTTCATGAGGTTGTTTAGTGCTGCCTTTGAAAAACATAAACGTGTTGCATTAACGGTAACGCAAAAAGTGCAAATTCTGCAAAAGATGGAAGCTGGTGTTACTCCTCGATTTATAGCAGAATGGTATAGAATTGTGACACAATTGTGTTTGATTTATAGAAAAATAAAGAAAAGCTGTTGAAATTTTACGCCAACAGTGATTCTAATACCAGAATCCAAAAGCGGAAATCTTTGCATGAGGCGAAATTGGCAAACCTCGATGCTGTGTACATATAATACAATGATTAATGTAATCAATTTATATATGTAATTATAATTTAATGCATATAATAAATTATTGCAATAATGTATATAATAATTTAATTAAATGTATCTAATACACCTTATTCATTTTGCACTTTTAGTCGGAATATTATGCTTTATCTTTTCTGTCCTGAAGTCTGCAAAATCCTAAAATCCACACAATGTCTGGTCCCAAGCTTTGTGGATTTCTGGAATTTTACTGTACTAATAAACTTACATCTTTGAAACCATCGCATCTCTCTCCGTGTGTGTAAATATATGACTCATTAGATATGTGTATACATAATATGTATGAATACAAGAATGAACATTGCCAAAAAGTTTATTTGAAGTTACTTCTATACTTCTAATTCATATAACTATTATGTAATCAGCAGCAACTGTAGTCATCAGTTCTTTGCACATTATCATGGATATAGAATGCACAGTTGAAAAATAATTGAAGTGCATTTTTTGCATTAGGCTAGTCATTAAAATTCACCCACTTACACACAACCTTTGCATTTGTAATTTACTTGAAAATTTAAACAAACAAACTGAGCAAGTAGCCTTTACGAAATATTTAACATTTTGGAGATAAAATTAATATTTTTCACTCATCACATAACATATATCAGTAAATGACATTATATTTGTACATAAAAGTTATTAAATAAATATATGGAACTAACAATAAATGTAATAAACACGTGTCATTTTGCCAAGGTATTGAGCCAACAGTATTAAAATAATTACAAAATATATTTTGTATATACACGGAATTTGAAAGCAAACACCTCTTTCACCAATCTGAGCAATAACAACTCATTCCTGTTTGGTTTTCAAGTCTGTTTGCCAAGTAAAGTTGGTAACTCGTTTCGTGGAACCGCAGTTCCAACAAATGTTTCTATTGATGTCGTGTTCCAGCAACAAATAGCGTATGCAATAGGGGTTTAACACTAAAACACCAATGCAGTGGGTGAAATCTGTGCATAAATAAAGTACTGTACATGATGCTGTACAGAAATGTTTTTCTTTTATCCAGATCAAAAGCAATTTTTTAACTTGCTGTAACATCAGTTATCTTTGCTTGATAATCAATTTCACCCCCACAATGTTAGCTGATTTAATAGCATCTATGTTTTTCACAATTATAGACACCATCGTACTCGCCATACATCATGCAGTAAGCCAAATCCTTGATATACGTGCCATCTTCATACTTTCCATCTATCTCTTTTTTCATCTCCATTGTGATCATAAACATTTTTTGTTATTGTTGTTGCTTGACTTTTGTCATTAACTTTCCTAAAACTAATTCTTACTGAACTACCAAAGATTACAAAATTACTTGAAAATTCAGTTATAGGTTGTTTATTATTACATGGGTTGTTTAGTGCAGAGTTATATCAAACAAAGATTTTATAATTTGGTATCCAAATGGAAATTTTGCATCTTATTATGTCCAAACAGGACATATACCAATTTGGATGTGTTTCTAAGTAGTTGTATATCGAGGTACCGTTGTATGTATATGCTTGAGTAATATAAATGAGAATAGTACAACATATTTTTCCTTTGTTTGTTTATTTGCTGTTGTTGTGAAATTGCATATACAGTAGAAATTTGACTCTCCAGAAAGCTCAGGAAGTGCTATATACCAAATACATGAAAATTCCAGGTAGTTGAGCATGTGAAAATGCAATGTGGCAAAAAAGCCAAATGACTGGAAAAAGAAATTTTCTGTTTAAAGTTATAAAAACAGTCATCTTATTAAATATTAAAAGCCTGTATTTAACATAAGATTTTAGAAATATATACATTTCAGACATGAAGGCAAATGTATTTTTGTAAGCATTAAATATATGAAAATAAAGCAACTTATCTGATTATGAGATACTGCCTAACTTGTGCCAGTCATTCCTGCAGAAATTTGAAAAAAACTAATCACTCTTTATTAAATTAGATAGTCAATAAATACAAGTTGTGGATATAGCATATGAAACATTGAAATTGCTTGTTATAGTTTTTCACATTACATAACCATTGTTTATCCATTTTCATATAATCACATGCTGTGCATGTTAATACACTCTTTTCTTGATGTTATCATCCTTAATTTTGTA